CATTAAGTCCGCCTTATGTACACCGTTCTATGTCCTTAAAAGTTTAAAATAAATAAATAAGTTTATAGGATAATCTTATTTTTCCGAGGCACACCATCTAATGACCATGGTACACCAGTGCGCCGAGGTACACGCTTTGTGGAACACTGTCCTAGACCATTCTGGGGTGGGCACGGCAAGAAACCTAGCTCAAAACAATATATTGTAACTTTCCAATTTGGTCTCGCAATGTTTCCATTTGTTTCCTAGTACCTATGTTAAGGCTTTAGTCTAAACTTCAATCCGTAAGTTAAAACTATTAATATTGCGAAAACGTTTGATTGATGTAGGTTTTTAAGGTTCCGTGTAACTTTTGCAGAAACAGATTTTCACTGGCTGACTTAGACTGAAACTGATGTTTTGGTGCCGAAAAGAAAATGTAATTTTGGGTGTTAATTTGGAGTTGATTTTTTCATAAATCAAGTAAGCTATTATTGTTGGTTTTTGTAGGTTAAGTATGTACTTAACCTACAACCTTACCTTACCTTACCTTACCTTACCTTACGTAGTTATGTACCTAATTTGAAACAAATACAAGGGAAAATAAATGATAAACTTGACCAAGATACTTGCAGGTTTCACCTACATTAGTTCAGAGTAGTATCTACAAATCATATTAGGACATGTAGGGAACCCTTTGTACGTGAATGTAACTCGCCCTTGGCAGCTTTTTAGTTTGAGCCCGGCTCTACCATTGTTCCAAACGTTTTGTTGCAAACGAACCGCTTGTTCCGTGCTGGTACAATTTATAACAAACAAAATTTAAATACAAAGTTACAAACTATTCACTTCAAACTATGTTGGAGTTACTGAAATGCGTTCGCTACAGTAAGCTTTTAATTTTAATAGTTGCGAATTATTTGGGTAAAAGTTGTGTGTATTTAGGGTCCTGTAGTTAATAAGGAACCATTATACCCCTGGCTTCGTCGATAATTCTCGTGGTTTCATTATTAATTATTAATTGACTGATCGCGAAACCCCGGATCGGAGACACATCAGGAAAGTGCTAATAACATCTGGAATCCAATTTCGTAACTTATTTTAAAGATAATAAAAAAAAATAAACTTTTTTAAAAACAAGCTTTTATTCTGAACTAGCGGCCGCCCGCGACTTCGTACGCGTGGAACCCGTTTTACCCCCTTCATCTACTTACGCGGTTTAGATTTTTTCATCAATTTTTTCTCGCTAATTCCCGTTCCCGTAGGAATTTTGCAATATCCTGTTATAACTAAGCTTTAAGTTTACTAAGGTACCTGCTTGCCAAATTTCAAGCGTCTAACTTAAGCGGTTTAGATTTTTCATACAAAAGGATTTTCCCGCTAATGCCCGTTCCCGTGGGAATTCCTAAGTATCCTATAACCTGCCCAGGAGTATAAAGAATAATTGTACCAAGTTTCGTTAAAATCCGTCGAGTAGTTTTTGTTTCTATAAGGAACATACAGACAGACAGACAGACAGACAGACAGATAGACAAAAATTTTACTGATTGCATTTTTGGCATCAGTATCGATCACTAATGACCCCCTGATAGTTATTTTGAAAATATATTTCATGTACAGAATTGACCTCTCTACAGATTTATTATAAGTATAGATTTCGAAAGCTTGTATCGCGCATGGAATTTATTCCTCTTTTTCTCTGTTTGCGCTACAAGCTTTCGAAATTCAGAATAAAAGCTTGTTTTTAAAAAAGTTTATTTTTATTATAATTTTATTTTACACTTTTTAGTTATATCTTAATCTCAGGACCCTGGACATTATCTAACACTTAAGTGCTCGAAAAGACAAATCCAACGAACCCAAACTCGATGAGTTTCTGCCGTTTTGTTTAGGAGTTCCTATGGCCACCTCCCGACTCCATCATCAGACCAGCTCAATGGTACCATAATATTGCATTGTCATCGTACTTACATAAGTATACCAAATTCCAGCTCAATCGGTTGAGGAGAACTGGTCTTAAATTCAGTTGCAAGATTTGTCCCACACATACTAACAAGTGAAGTCAATATAAAGCTTGTAATAAAAATAAAAAACCTACTTTAATTAGGAAAAATTAATGTCCGAACGCAGGCCGCTTACCAATCAGTTAACATAAAATCATTGGGGGAGGACTAGTTCAGCAGTGGGCGTGCTATGGCTGAAATGATGATGATGAATGTCCAAACTACGAGAACATAGTGAAAGTACTGTAAAGTAGTTTGAATAATAAAAACATTTGAGTTTGAATACCCAACACCATCTTGAACTCGTTGGCTTTATATCAAACCCAATGTAACTGTCTTTTTTAGTTGTTAAATAATATTTACGACTAAGTACGGAACTCTACATTACTTGTAGTCAGTTTACCTGCCCTACTTTTCTTGACGTCTCATTTAAAATTAATTTACTGCCAATCTCGCTGGTCAGATAATCTTGAGTCACTTCACTAGTTTATCTTTCAACAAAAGTGTTGCCAACATTTAGGGACAATAAAACTGTCGGTACTTGTAAAAGGCACAATAAACCGACGACAATAACGCACTAGGGAGAAGACAGTAGTTTGATATATCGACACTCGGCGAGCTTTTGTTTATAGGCATTTTAGGGTTCCGTACCCAAAGGGGACGCCCGTTTTCACCATGAATCCCTAATTTTTAAGTGATCCCTATAAAAACAAAATTCCTATTATGTGTTACTTTAGGGGTCACTTAAAAATCAGGGATTGATGGTGAAAACGGGCATCAATCACTTACTCTGGGTTGTATCATTTTATTTTAAGAAATGACACAGTCTGTCAAACATCATGAAAAAAACACCGGTTATGGTTATAGTTACGGTTAAAGAAGGGTGGTGCAACTCAGCCTTAGACTTCGCTATTATCGCTATCTCATGAACCGTGGTAGCTGGACAGTTGAAATTTTCACAGATGATTTAGGTATTTCTGTTGCTACCTACTATGTCAAAAAATATTAAAAGGAGAATTAAAATAATTATTTTACGCTCGATTAATAATGGTGACATGTAGACGCTTGAAATATTCACATGATATTTATTGAATTAGTCTTCTAAAATAAATAATGAAATTAAAATAAAATTAATATTTAAGTGGACTCGCATTCAACAACAAAAAAAAAACGGAACGGAACCCTTCATGCGCGAGCCCGGCTCGCACTTGCCAGTTTTTAGGGCTATTCTCACGGCCGGCGCTTCCGCACCGTGAAATATTGTCAACGATACGACGCGTAATACCGCCTTAGATCCACTGGCAGCCTAATATGGTCAGATCGGAATCGTGACCTGTTTAAACAAGGTCTCGGATTTGTTTGGCGTCAATACCAAGTTTTTTAACCGTTTGCTTTTGTTAAAAAGCCTTATGATTATAAATTATAAGATGTACCTATAGTTCTTTCGCGTTAAGAATGCAGTAAGTCATTATTGTCCGTCGTTGATATACAGGGTGGAAACCTTAAGTGATCTCACTCGATTTTGTCTAAACTATACAAGATATTGAAAAACTGGTTACTGAATTACTGATCCTGTAAGTGCTTCATGAGCTCTTTCAAACGGTACTAATAAAAGGTTACAGAATAAACTGGATCTATCTGAAAATTCAATGTTTCCAGCTTCCATACTAAATGTATCCAGACACACAATATTAGAAGTGATTTTTTTTATTGAATAATAAACTCTTAAAATAAACTCGTAAATTGTATTCTTATTTAAAATTATTCATGGAAAACATTGATTTGATTGATTGGATTGATTCTAAAGTGAATTTTGTTCTGGGCCACCCTGTAGTTACCTATCTCTACAATGACAATAAGGGCAACTGGTGCTAAACCGTCCTGGAAAGGGGTGTGGCACTATAACCAAGCTACCAAGGCCTGATAGCACTATGGTGTCAACGGTGTGAACGACCCCATTCCAAGGGTACTTGGTGATTCACACCGGAGTGTGATAACAAACGCCCAGGCCCAGGCCCCTGCAAAGCACGAAATCCCCATTCTTACGTAGATACATAACTAATTAGGTGACAGATTGATAAGATTTAAAAAATAAGTTTGCATTAGATCAGCAAAATTTAGAATCAAAAAGCACTTTAAATGCCAATTAAAGCTCTAGGGAGAATGTATATTACTTACTCGAAACACGATTTAAACAAAAGTCAAATCTTTTGAATTAAATGCCATTTTTACAAGATTTCACCTATCCTTGAGTTTGAAACAAGGTATAAACATTATTTAAGAGTAGGGAAACCTGTTGTACCTAGGCCGGGTTTAACAATTCGATTTTTTGAAAATAAACGGAGAGATTAAGATTTGTAAGTTATGGATAAATGGATAGACCCAATTCAACTATAAAATGAATGCATAGAATCCCATTAATTATTCATACAACTAGAAATAAATACTGCGTTGATATAAGAAGGCGGACTAAGGTACAACACCCCTGATGTACCTACCTTGCACAGTATCCCGTTATACCTTGGACCACAGCTTGGCCATACGATTATAAGGTTCAAGTCAATATAACTAAGATTGCTGACACATGCAATCAACAATTACTGTGAATCTAATTGGATCCTATTCTGAATAGTTCACACTTATTTCAATTCTGCATAATCCAAACGGCTCCATTCTGGTCAATAGGGACAATTTCCCCACCTGCAAACCTAGACTCACCAGTTTGGTACTTGTTTCCAGTGCGCAGCAGCGCGTGATCCTTGGCCATTCCCTCACCTGCAAATTTAGACCTTATTCTCACCAGTTTGATACTTACTTATTTCCAGTACCCAGTTATGGCCATCGTGGTCAAATTAAGGATCATTTCCTCACATGCAAATCTAGACCTTATTATCACCAGTTTGATACTTTTTTTCAATGCGCAGCTGCGCGTGATCTTTCCAATCAAATCAGGAACTATAAATGAGCTTCACCTGAAAATCTAGATCTTATCCTCACCAGTTTGGTACTTGTTTCCAGTGCGCAGCTGGGCGCGCGGCGTGGCAAGAGGCGGCGGCGCTCTCGGTGGGCGCGGGCGGCGGGGGCGCGGGCGGCGCGGCGCGGCGCTGCTCCGTGCTCGGCGACCACCCGGGCGCGCGCCGCGACCCCAGGAAATGGCACAGGAACAACCGGGTATGGGACACACTAGACTTAGTGTTTAGAGCGGCTGAGCTGGCCAGGAGCATAGGAAAAACCAGGTATGATACTCTTTGGATCTTCTTTGATGCAGGACGGTTAAGGAGTTCCTTTCCCTAGACTGGCCGACTGAAGCAGGGCGTGAGAATTTGGGACTACTTCTTGGGTATTCTTAGATTGGTGCAGGGCGCGAGGAATTGTGTTTAGAGCGGATGAGCTGGCCAGGAGCATTGGAATATTGAAGGTAGGCAGCAACAAAAGACCACAGAAATAAGTGACAATCTACGATTGACTTATCATCACCAAGGGCATCAAGACACAAGGCCAGTGATCATCATATCACTGTCAGGTGATTTAGTCTCCACTGCGAGTACAACTGTCTTCACGCTAGTCAAACCGTTAAACCAGTGCGTTAAAAGAATACAGTACCCAATCAGTAGTCAGCTGTGCTCGTGGCAAGAGGCGGCGGCGCTCTCAGTGGGCGCGGGCGGCGGGGGCGCGGGCGGCGCGGCGCGGCGCTGCTCCGTGCTCGGCGACCACCCGGGCGCGCGCCGCGACCCCAGGAAGTGGCACAGGAACAACCGGGTATGGGACTCCTTAGACTTTGTGTTTAAGGCCAGGAGCATTAGGAAATTGAAGGTAGACAGCAGTAAGAGACCATAGATTCAAGTGAAAATCCAGGGGTAACTCATCAATGCAGCAGTGACACTTAGGTAACTTAGTCTCCATTGCTAGAGCACGACCTTCACAAATTAACAGAGGCAAAAGGAAGATGGGGCCTAAACTCTCCATACTGGCCAGACGCGTTAGACTAGTGCGTTAAAAGAATACAGTACACAATCAGTAGTCAGCTGTGCTCGTGGCAAGAGGCGGCGGCGCTCTCGGTGGGCGCGGGCGGCGGGGGCGCGGGCGGCGCGGCGCGGCGCTGCTCCGTGCTCGGCGACCACCCGGGCGCGCGCCGAGACCCCAGGAAGTGGCACAGGAACAACCGAGTATGGGACACCCTAGACTTATGCCCGTTTTCACCATCAATCTCTAATTTTTAAGTGACCCCTATGAAAACAAAATTCCTGTTATATGTGTTACCATAGGGCTCACTTAAAAATTAGAGATTGATGGTGAAAACGGGCGTTAGTCTTTAGAGCAGCTGAGCAGACCAGGAGTATTGGGATCGTAGCGATAAGTAGCGGTTAATGATCACAGAAACAGGTGACAATCTACGGCTAGCTCATTTTAGCAGCACAAGGACATCAAGACACAAAGCCAGTCATTATCATACAATATCCCTTTACCTGAGGCAAATGGAGGATTTAGCGTACACTCCTTAGGCTGGCCAAACCGTTAGACCAGTGCGTTAAAAGAACACAGTTTACATAAAAGTAGTCAGCTGTGCTCGTGGCTAGAGGCAGCGGATCTCTCCTTAGACTGATACAGGACGCGAGAAATAGTGTTTAGAGAGCGGTTGAGCAGGCAGTAAAAATTACCTACAAAAAACTCAGCACAAGCAACAACGGCACAAGATGACAAGACCCAAGGTCTCATTAGTACATCTAGGTAGGTGTACGTAATTTAATACTTCAAACAACCAATCACTTTCTAACAACTACATAATTCCTTATCAAAGTTTGTATCTCGCTCGACAACATAATAACTAAATAATTTGGGTGGTCGCGTGTGTGGCCTGCATAATATGCACTGCATAGACCCTTTGTATGCCCGGCGAATGTCAAATTAATGTAACTTAATGGTGGATTAAATTATGACCTATTTAGAACCACACCCACGTGATATTTTCTAATAACAAGTAGGTTACCAGAAACATTGTTACAAATTCGCTGACCTTTAATGCAAAGTTGATAGTAAAAAGTACAAAAAGCAACCTTTTGCTGTCACCATCAATTAGAGTGGCAACTTTGACCTTTCTGATAATTATTATGATGGTTTTTCTGTTACGGTAGAAGTAGTAGGTAGAAGAAAAGTGGGCTCGTCAAACAATTAAAACAGCCAGCACGCGTGGCTATTCTCATAATATCCTTTTGCATATTGTTTGACATTCCTGATCCCTAGTTTTTTCAATGGTATATTAGATCTATCAAAATTCCACTGACCCCATTTCCAGTTTTTCTCTTCGACCTTTCCAGCCTAACCTAACGTTTGTCGTCGCCTTATTTTGCTGAAGTAATCCTTACTCCTCCTGCCTCAAAATGATATCGATACTTAGAAGACCCTAATCGGAATATCTGAGCGAGCGTGCACTTTAGTATAATGCAGATGCCTCAGAATGTTTCAACTCTCACACTTGTCTCTCTTAATTCTGAAATAAATTACTGATTATCAGGAAAAGCACCTTTCACATGATATGAAAATTGATAGGAAGATTTGACGCACCGATAGTGAACTAACAAAGTTTTAACAAGGTTATGTTGTTGCTTAAGATCTATAAATTGATTCTCTTATCGCTGTTGATTCTCCAACTTGATACATTTAATCTGGTGTGATCTCTTACACCGTATCTAGGTACATAAATAGGTCTTAGTTAGGTATATCTTGGTAAGAACCAAGAATTTGAAGTACCCTAACTAAGTGCGATTTTTGTCTCAAATCTCGTCGTCCATACTTCTATCAGCGAAAACTTAAGTAATTGGGAAACTAGCTTAGTAGACAGAAGTGGCAAAAGGGGCTGGCAGATTGGCTAGTGAATTCCTTCAGTAAGAAATCATTGTTTCACGCAGAGAAAATCCAATTTTTGTGGATGCCGATCATCATCACCATGACCAGATATAAGTGGCAGGAATTCTTGTAATGCAGATTACCTACATACCATATCTTTGATATCTTTGTAGCATAAGACGATGAAGAGGTAGCAAAGTCTTTTAAAATCAACTAAAGCCTGGTCCGTGAGCACGTAGAATTTTGTCCTATGACCCCAAGCTACCCATCCTTATCGCTCGCGCGTAATCATGTTGCTGTCGCACTCGCACACTTACTGCGTGCGCCCGTCGCACAGTCGCGACAGCAATATAATTACTTGCTCACGGCTTATTTACGTTCCAGGTGCGAGATGCATCATACGGATCGTCATCAGAATCCGACGGCGAAGCGGAGGGCGTCATCGGGGACACGTGGGGCGTGGCGCGGCTCCTATACGCAGGCCTGGGCACGCTGGCCGTGGGGCTGGTGGTCTACTTCGTGGGCACCGGCGACAAGGTCAGTAGTGTAAGAGAATTTATTCTTTCTAGTTGGTAGCAAACATGTTAGTTGGTTAGATGCCCTCTGCACCTGGCGTGTTCTCTCTCTTTGGTAGTACAGAGATGTAGTAGTTAGAGAGGGGATAACTGCGGCGCTTTAGACCTGGGCACACCTGTTGGGCGTCTACTTCGTATGGACCGGAGACGAGTAGTGCATTTAATTCTCTCTAGTTGGTAGACAGCTGTAGTGAGTTAGAGAGGGGACTCGTGCTGCCGTAGTAACTATGGTAGAGAGAGGGGATACGTGGGGCGTGGCGCGGCTCCTATACGCCGGCCTGGGCAGATTGGCCGTGGGGCTGGTGGTCTACTTCGTAGGCACCGGCGACAAGGTCAGTAGTGTAAGAGCATTGTTATTTTCTCTGGCTAGTTAGTACAAAGTACGGCGGTAGTTGGTTAAATGTCCTCTACACCTGGAGAGGAGAGGCGACACTGCGAGGAGGCGCTCTAGACCTAGGGATAGTAGCTGTGTATTTCGTAGGCATCGGCGACAAGGTGAGTCCTACTGTAAGAGCATTGTTATTCTCTCATGGGTAGCACAGATGTAGTAAGTTAAAGAATCCTGTATAGAATAAAGTTAAACACCTGGATCGTGGGCTCGTGCCATTCTGGACCTAGGGAGGGATATTAGCAATGTATCGTCTACTAGTTAGTTGGTAGTACAGCTGTAGCGAGCTACAGTTAGCGGGCTTTGCGCTTGATTTAGACTGTTCTTCTCACTCGACTTCTTCGAATCTTTGGGAAGACGTAAGTCTCCCGAAAGGAACGCCACCAACGCACGATCTCCAGCTTTTTCACACACTGATTTGTTGTTGTAAATCTTCAGTTAACATACCTATAATAACATTGTACACATATTATGTGTACCTATAATGGTCTGGTCATTGACAAAGGATACTTCCTGTTTCAGGGTTTCAAGACGCCGGCGCTGCGGCTGGTGGGCCCGTCGCTCATCGTGGCCGGGCTCGCCTGCTGTCTGCTGCGCATCGCATTCTGCATATTTGCGAAGCCCTGCTGCCGACGGCGGACCAATTACAAGGAGAGCAGAAGGTAATAACTGTCTTAGTAATCCTACTCATATTATATCCAAAAACCATTCTGTCTGCTGTTAGTTTTATCAGAACAATTGCCACTTTCAGCGAGAAACTCTATCTAGCTGGATAACGTCCTACACGTATGTTACTTGCCAAAAAGAATTTTCACTCTGTTTTTAATTCATCATTTTCATCAGCTACTAAAGTCCCTGCGCCTGGAAAACATAACTTATGTACCTATGCTGACACGAATTCTCAATTTAAAAACACTGCACTACCTACATCCACTTACTTATCAACCAATACACGTTGACTTTCGTATTTCTTCTCGCACTCTGTCTGGCTAACGTTGTCAACAGAACACTAATGCCAATCTAATCCATCTATTCCCAGACTGTCTGGATGCGTGGAAGGCGAGGAGATGCCATTGGCGGGAGGCGGCAGCGGCCCCCGCGCGGGCCCGGCCCAGTGCTCGCCCGCGCGGAGGCTCGACGCGTCCTCCTGCGACGTGTCCAGCCTGTCCTCCGGCGAGGAGGACGAGCGGCTGCGACGGTACCGCACCGCCACCGCGCCCGCCCACCTGCCCCTGGCTCAGACGGCGTCGATGCCACAAGTGAGTGAGGAGTGTAGACGCGACAGTGTGTGAGCATCTGAGATCCAGCTGCATTTACATCGTACCAGAAGAGAAAGTGAGCAAAAAAACAAGAGACAATCTAGGGGGTAAGTCATCATAATAGCGCGACTGCTGTGCTAACATGAAGAACATCAAGAAATAGGTCCAAATTACTGGTAATAATGAAGACAATGAGATGCCACTGGTTGGAAGATCGACGCGTCCTTTTGCGTCACAGGTAGCAGCAGCCGTAGCAGCAGTAATTGAGCAAAGAAACAAGAGACAATCTAGGGGTAAGTCATCATTACAGCACTACTGCTGTGCTACCACAAAGAGCACCAAGAAATAGGTAATAATGAAGGCAAGGAGATGCCGCCCGCGCGGAGGCTCGACGCGTCCTCCTGCGACGTGTCCAGCCTGTCCTCCGGCGAGGAGGACGAGCGGCTGCGACGGTACCGCACCGCCACCGCGCCCGCCCACCTGCCGCTGGCTCAGACGGCGTCGATGCCACAAGTGAGTAGACGCGATAAACGGTGATCCAGGTGCATTGGCATCGTAACAGAAGAGAAAGTGAGCAAAAAAACAAGAGACAATCTAGGGGGTAAGTCATCATAATAGCGCGACTGCTGTGCTACCATGAAGAACATCAAGAAATAGGTCCAAATTACTGGTAATAATGAAAGCGAGGAGATGTCGCTGGTTGGAGGATCGACGCGTCCTTTTGCGTCACAGGTAGCAGCAGCCGTAGCAGCAGTAATTGAGCAAAGAAACAAGAGACAATCTAGGGGTAAGTCATCATTACAGCACTACTGCTGTGCTACCACAAAGAGCACCAAGAAATAGGTAATAATGAAGGCAAGGAGATGCCGCCCGCGCGGACTCGACGCGTCCTCCTGCGACGTGTCCAGCCTGTCCTCCGGCGAGGAGGACGAGCGGCTGCGACGGTACCGCACCGCCACCGCGCCCGCCCACCTGCCCCTGGCTCAGGCGGCGTCGATGCCACAAGTGAGTAGACGCGATAAACGGTGATCCAGGTGCATTGGCCGATGCCAATGCATCTGCCTGTTACGATTAACAGAAGAGAAAGTAAGCAAAAAAACAAGTGACAATCTAGACGTAAGTCATTATTACAGCGCGACTGCTGTGCTACCGCGAAGAGCATCAAGAAATAGGTCCAAATTACTGGTAATAATCTGCGACTGCGTAGTCCAGTAGGGAAAGTGAGCAAAAAAAAAGAGACAAGAACAACAGGGAAAGGACTTCACTGTCGTATGTCAAGAAACCGATTCCTCTAATATGTTACTAAATACTAAACTAGCACTTATTCTTTCAGGGTATTCTCCAGCAAAGTGCACAACAAAGCACGACGCCGAACGCGGCACAAACCGCGGCGCCGCTTGCGCCAACGACGCAGCCGAGTGCGATCCGGCAGAGCGCGTCTCAAAGCGCGGTGCGGCAAAGCGCCATGGCGAGCGTCACCCCGCCCAGTGCCGTGCGGCAAAGCGCGAGCCAGCCCAGCGCTCTCCAGCCGGGGCCCGGCGCCCCAGGCCCCCCGGGGCCCCGCAGGCCCCCGCCCCGAAACGTCTCCTTCGCCGGGGGCCCCGACGGCGAACTCGTCCTCAGCCCCGCCCAGCTGCGCTCCTAAAGCAATAAACTCCTCGCATGGACGGTCTAACTCTACCGGCAAGCGCCGAAACACCGATGTGCAACGGACTCTGACCGTGTCGGGTGATTTTTCTATTCGATAAGCTACGAGTCGATTATTTTGCACGTTTGGATAATTCTCGCAAGCTCCTAACCATATTCGTGTCTATTTTAAGACTATTTTGCTAGTTCTATTCCTAGCTGAATACGAGGCTCTAAGTGCATGCCTATAGCAAAATGCTAATACTATGATGGAATTGAAGTAATGATATTGTCAAATAACGATGAACAATTTGATAAAGATGGCTGTGAAAAGTTAACAAGTTACACCAAAGTAGGGATAACCAATTTTTTATATTTTCATACTAATTAGCGAAGATATCCACGATTATGTAGTTTAACCGAAAAATTTGCACTACCTTGCCTTTTCCTTTCTAGTGTTTATTATTTGGCAATATTTGTGAATTCAAGCACGTAATCATAGTAGTGGTATTTTGTTATATGGCATTTTCAGTTTTGTTTGGTTTTCACGAAGACGCTTGGACAAGCAATGACGCGAATGCGCTGGTAGACCAATAAATTGTAAGTACCTTTACCATGATTTACTAGACTAACGATTGTCCAAGAGGTTTGTCAGTATCTACAAGTAGGTAGAGGTATGCCTAGTTAACATATTTTAAAGATGATTATGATACGAACTATTGAAACTTGTCGAACCCTAAGCAGATCGAATCGTAAAAATAATACCATCAAGGTATTGAATTAGGTATATGTCTTTATAGCAACAAAAACGGTAAATCCCTTCTTTTTTTTTGCTATAAAGATACATTTGAATCCTCTTCTGGCATCTTAGAAGATAAACAAAAATATTAAACATTCGTTCTACTTTTTATCACAATTATTAATTTGCACATTATTCTTCATTAGCTGTCTGCTGCATAAAATAGGCATGGCAGTGCTCTGGGCCAAGTTTCCAGTAATTTGCTGACCTTTTTATTGATTGTTTTAAAAGCGTGTTAAAAATTAAAAAAGACTAAGACAGTTCTATTACTACTATGTCAGGAAAATAAAAAAACCTGCTTATGACAATTTTAATGTTCGTAACATAACCAACTACTCGACTATGACTATGGGCTTAACAGCTGCATCCTTGACCGTAGTGGTAAACTAAGCGTTCATTCTAACTCCGTAGCGATTTACTACTGAATGTGCTAGTTCCATCCATTTCAAGCCAACTAGTATATGTTTGCGTCTCGAGGTGTGGTCTTATGGTAGTAAATATATGAAAGTTTTTTTTATATACGTTGCAGTTTGTATTCTAAGTTATCAGATGAATTATTTTTTCACTCTGGGTTGGTTTATTAAAAAAATGCATTTTTGTGGTCTAAATTAAGATTTTCCTTATAGGGGAGAGTTCGGTATATTGTACCGCCGGGTAAATTGTACCACCCTCATATTTCGTAAAGTATTTATTGAATGTCTGTAATTGCAACACTCAGCGATACACAACTAAAATCAATTAATATCGGCCATGTGGTTTTTGCCGTGACAACAAACACGTGTGTTTTATTTTGAAAAGTATTTTTTCATTGTTTTCAACTAACTTTTGACAATACATGTTTAGATTGTAATTTTGTTAAATTTAATCACAGGGTGTTTCTAATATATTATTTAGAAGCGTAAATTAGTGTGGATTACAATTATTTGAAACATTTTTCGGTATTTATAAGCTATATTTTTTACCGATTTTTTAAAAGCACTATCACCTAGTCGGCTAAATTGTACCACATCAAGTTGTATGGAACTTTACCAAAGGATTTTGAAATTTTTTTTAGTAAATCATATTTTGAAGTTATAATAGCGTAGTTATGTTTGACTAACAATAAATGAAAGCAAAAGACTGGCAAAGTAGATTAGGTACAAGTGTGCGTTACGATAATTGGAATTACAAAACTTTTACTCAAAATCGTGATAACGAGTAAAACAATATCGATTGTCTATGTTATTAACTACTGTTCCTCTTCGTTTCCTAATTTGTTAAGAATGTATCGTATAATATTTTGCCATAGTTTTTTTAAAGGCTTGAAATTTATTGAAATCCAATTTAGTAACCCTGTGGTACAAATTATCGAACCGGTTGGCTAAATTGGACCGAAGCTCTGAACTCGTACTTTGTTGATTTGTGCTAAATATACAACAATCATGTTAATTAATACTTATGAAATAGTAAGTTGAATAATGTATCTTTTATTATATACCATGGACATTAGCAAAAACAAAAGAAAACTATGTGTAAAATGGGATTGAAAAAAACTGGTCCAAATTAGCGGACTCTCCCTTAAGAAATATAGGATTAAGAGCGAAATAAAGATAGGATACGATACAACAAGGCAGTTGTACTTATAAAAGGAATAAAATATAAAATCTAAGAGCGATAGGAATTGTATGACATTAAGCAAAGCATAGATTGACTAGTAATAATACTTAAGACCACATCTCGAAGCAGTTTGAAAATAAATAGGAAAATTAATATAAACATAATTGTGTTAAAACTGCCTACTACTAGACGCGAATTTATATTTAAATATAAAAGTCATAAAAATAGATTTATAACTGACAATAATGATTGTTAACTGATGTATAAAGTGTTATGGCGTATGTGCGTTGATTTTATTTTAATTATGTCAAACAATTGAGTAGTTCAAGCGCCGAGTATTTCATCAACTACAGATATGTAATTAATTATGAAAGTACATTCTAATTATATTGAATTTTATGGAATATTCGTCTATTCAAACCGCCAAATCTTTCTTAATAAGAAATTTACCGTTATTTACATTTATCTGATATTAATATGTGCATTTAATTTTAAAGTTGTTTTGTAGATTCAAATTATGAAATTTAATTTTGTTATCATATGCACGAATAGTGATATATTGTTATTTATAATAATTAAATTTATTATTGTTGTTAATATATTACTATATTTTCAAATTAAACCTTGGCAATGAGATTAATCACTAAAATAAAATATACAGACACAACTTGGCGTGTGAACTACGTATAGACACCAAGGATATATTATTATTATATATTATAATATAATATAGTTAGCTAAAACATAAAGGTTGGTGTATAGCGAGTGATACTGTTTAACAGTATGATGTTTTTATGTGTAAGTACATAAAGTAAATATAATAATACATAATGTGTGTTACGCGTGCATTGTATATGGCACACTATAGAAAATACTGTTTATAAATATATTATATATTTTAGAAATATTTGCACCTTTAGTAGTGAAATATTAAAATGTATAACTGCAGATTTTAGCTAGAATACGATTTATGATGGATACCTACACTTTGTGAAGTGTTCAAAGGGACACTGTCGAAAAATTAAGTTTCTATGAGACGAAACAGAAAATTTGTACCTATTGTAAACGTTTTTGATTAGTTTTTGTCAATTATACCTTTGTAATCAGATTAAAGTAGTTATTTTGTATTATTTAAATGTAAGGACGGTCAATTACTTACAAATTATTTTCATGATAAGATTTGAAATTTCGCTTCATTTTAAATTTAAATTACTGTCTGCTACCATAAATATTATAAAGACTAGAGTATTTATAATACTGAAGTGAAGATAGCAGCGTAACATTGCTTTTCACACAAATAAGTATTTCACAAAAATATACGTAATATTTTTTATAAAGTCCTATAACACATCTATTATAATATGTTTTAAATACGTCAACATTAAAACTTAGTTCCTAATAATAACGCCAATTTCCTTTGCTAATGCAAACTCATACATTACAATATAAATGAAAAATCATATAACAGATATTAAATGTAGAATTTTAACCTCATTGTGGTACCATACGAGTAAATGTAAAATAAATTCAGTAAAAAAATATATTTCAAAAAATCTAAGTGTTATTACAAATTCATGAGATTAAAGTAATTATCGTACATAACATAAATAGATGTTAAGAAAAATATGAGCTTCATTTAGACTTACTGGCTTGTGTGACAAAGTGTTGTGTACTAACGAAATAGAATCCATCGCATCGTCATACATACCGTAATTCTTTTTTCATTTACACAAATATTACATTTATATTATTCTTTACAAAATATTTATCGAGCGCAGAGTTTATAATTTTCATTTAAAAAATAATAAATTAAAATACAAATAAATAAGTGTACTAAATTAAAAATTAAACTAAGTACATAATATTGACTTCACTTGTGTTCGAAAGTTTATGGTTGAAAAAAGTCCATAATTATAAGTTGAGTTTATGTATTTTTGTTGAAAATACATATGAACACAAAAAATAGGCGTGAAATTGAAACCATTGAAAATCTAATAATATAAGCGCACATAAAACTGGTGACAGGGTTTATTTATTTTTGTCTACAAGCAGACGAGTTTTCGACAAAATATATTTTTGCTTTAAAACCGTTTTAAAAATGTATAGGAAGCTTATTTTTCTCATCTAATATGTATATTATATTATTTAAGTAGATAATATGTATCCCGGTATGTTTTTTTATAAAGTCATTTTATTTTTTAATCCTATTCGCAAACGAAAGAAAATTCGTCTGCTTTTTTATGTAAATTAAGATGAGAATTGATATAAAAAATTGTCTACATCTTTTAAGATCAGTAATAAAAAAAACTTCGGTATAAAAATCTACTAACGATAAAGCTATAATTCAAAGCACATTTTACTTTACTTTTCATATTTATTAGGAAAACCTAAATTTTTGACTTTGAAGCTTTTAAAACTTTGTAATTCATATGAACAAAACCAAATTAAAATTATGAAAATCGAACTTATATTATTGTTTCTTGCACTTATTTTACAAATAAATTTAAATCTTACAGTTCCATATTTATGTAATAATAAAATAAACTTGAATCTCTTGAGTCAACAATGCTTGTTTGTCCAACCTATACTTGCTAAGAATTTTCCACATTTTACAGTAAAATAAAAACGTGTTTGTCATTGTTTAATTAATCTGTAAAGTAAGTTTTTACTTGTTTGTGACAATATAATTACAGCAATATAATAATGTAGCATGTGCAAATAATATGCAATTTAAAGGATTTATTATTGTGTTAACTTGACGAATCAGCAAAATTGTAAGGCCTGTATTCTGAAATGATGTCTTAAAGGTGCGTATAGATTAGTGCATTACAGTGTAATGTAAAGTTCTAAATCTAGTAAAGTAAATGGTACATGCAAGTAATTGCTATATTACCTCATTTGTTTTATGCGTCGTTTCAGGACAAGAATGTAAAAGTTACTTTTTAGTATTCACTTTAAAAACTGATACATAAAAACATAACCCTCCTTCTGGCGCAGTCTGGTAAAAAGTAAAAAAATATTTTAGGCGCTGATAAGCTAAAGTATTGAGTATTGATATTCCTGGTATATTCGTTTGTTAATTTTGAAAATTGTGATTTGTCAGCCTGTTTATGAGTAATTAATATAATAAATTTTGATATTAAGTTAGCCTAGTAACACCTATTTTATTGTAATTTTGCGCATAAATGTGCTTCCATATAAGCTTGCATGAATGCTTCTTTCGAGTTTCCTACTAAGTGCTGATATTATTAGCTCAGATTTAAGAGTACTATATCCATCAGAAACATATTTCTTCAGAAACTCAAATACTCGCAATGTAAACCTTAACATCGAAGGGATAGCTTCTATCTCAGAAGACACTAAAATCCACAAGTCCTAATACAAATTGTTTCTGATGGTGGAAGTTTTTAGGCGGGTATAAAGTTCCAACGCCTAATATAATAATGCATTTGCGTTTTGTTTGAAGGCGCTCATTCAAGGAAGCAACACATTAACATGGTATAAGTTTCGATTTTGAGCTCTTGTCAAACCGTAACACAAAATATAATCTTGCGTTGTATGGTTACACGTAAATGCTCCAAGTGAAGGAGCGCCTTTATGATACGTTCAAAACATTGTAAAAACGACAAACATAAAATTAATGCGGATTATTGAAATAAGTTTAAATGAAACGCAGCAATATTATATTATTTTAAGCGTGTACATATTCAAGTTTTGTCGAGTTAATAAATTGTTCATTAGGTAGGCCTTTGGAAAATGTACATGTTATACGACATGCAAAACATCAACACATCACAATTATATTAATATATGAACAAGAGCGATTAGTTTAATGTGAGTGAATGAAATGAATCGTTGGACGTTTTATAAGGCGTCATTTAATCCTAAAAGGCAACTTTTGTGTACTATTACACATTTGTACATAAAACACTCAAATAAATACAAACGGACATGTTCACAAAAAAATATTTTATTGTAAGTACAATTTCTGATGTTAGCTTAATGAATGATTTGATGAATTAGCTTCCCATCAATGTTATTTAACATGTACATGTTCAAAGGCAGTGTGTTAAATATAAGTTGCGCCGACCAAAATAAAATATAAGTTGTTCACAGTCGCTAATAAGTTAGAAATAATTTTTAACTGTACAAATTTCTTTCGGACTAGTATTTATTGATGAGCGAACACTTTTATACGAGTAATCACATTATAAGTAATTTTATTCCCTTTAAGAAAGGATGGTTAGGGTGAGAGCGCAAATTCGGACTGTGTTTCGTTGCTGTAAGAATCAAAATACTACATCGAAATGATTTTAAATGTACCTACATATAGTGATGTGTACATAAGTACATAAATTATCACTGTGATTTAAATGTTGACGTGTTGATTGAGATAAGAAATTTTATTTATTTGTTTAATTGAAAGCAAGCGCTCAAAGATGTATTGGATGTAATAGATTTTATAAATACTCGACATTGATAAAAGAGCAATGGAATGTTATTTGTTTTGTTGTAAATAATTTAAGTCATACCCGTATTGTTCATCGTTTGTATTATTTATAGGCATTGGTGCATATCATGTGTATAGAGCAGATGATGATTAATCAAATAAATTAGAAAGAAAATATAGTTGAGAATCATGTTTTATTTAAAGTATCTTTTTATGTTTTTTATTTTATTTTATAGACCTTGCGGCAGAACTATTTTGAAGTTTTAAACATAAGGTGAGTATAGACTAGAGCATTTCTATGTAATGTAACATTTCTACGTACGTACAATACAGGAAAATGAAAGTTTGGTTCGTGAAAGGAAAGAGTATACACTACAACGTCTACAACATTTCATAAAGCGGCTCGTTGTTCTATTACAAGTACATGCTCTAGATAGTCTATACTCACCTTTAAAAAAACACATTTTACGACAAAGTCGTAAATATGGACGGTATGTTATAAGTGTTAAATAAAACCACGCAAGTCAAATGTAACATGTGATATATTCCATTTCAACACTACAATAATGTCTCTTTATGAACATAAACTTATTTACACGAATAATTATTGCAAACCTTAAATAAAATCACAACATAATCCGAGGCATAACCCTTCCAACCATGCATAATACATAATATAATGTGATAAATAAGTTATAGACGTTTGACACTTTTATATCACTATTTCTTACTCTGGTATTTGCAACGAAAAGATAATTTAAATTCAATTAGATGTATGGTGGGATTTTTCATGTTTTTACTTTTTTTTATCTTAAGACTACACAACGAGTTAAACCTTTTTTATGGCTACTTTTTTAATTGTTTGTAATCAGGAATTCACCATTTGTCAAATTTTTAATTGGAATTTAGAGATCACTTTAAAATTAAACGAATAATCTAAGTAAAAAAAAAGTTTAATTAAAAAAATACCAACAGATTATTGAGAACCTACTTCTTTTGATGAAGTCGGTTAAGTACTCATGTATTTCAAACGCGAAATTATTAGTGATTTGCTTAGTTCGCGGTGTAGTCTATGCTTTAGGAATTTTGGGGAATTCTCCCCAAAACTCAGTTTTATCGTAAACGGTACATTTATTATAGTAACAACCAATATTGCGCCAAATGAACGCTCCTCCGTATCCAGGCGGTTGGGTGAATACATACCAACACATAATCAACTTTAAAAAATGAACAATAAAGATCAAATTAGCGTCATTACATACTTCAAATTTATTTTCACTACCTACCTAAATAGAAATCTTCGTGAGAACAAATGTCTAGTATTTGGAATACGTCCATTGAAGATTTCCTTATATTTTCAGACGACTTTACTGTTAATTACATTGAAAAATACTAATAAATTATATTGAAAAATCATTAAAATAGGTTTTTATAAAAAGTCTAAATGAATTGCGAAATTAAGCACTATTGGCAGCTTAGTTTTTTTACACTTATTAGAATTTGTACCAATACTTTTATATGTAAAGTCGCCTTAAACTTTTTAATACATTTAATTTTAATATACGGACGTAATGAGAGATCCATATTGTTTATTTTATAAAAAATACAGTTATAACAAATATTCTCCATTATACTAGTTCTATCTACGTACATTTATTTAACTTTAATTGAGATATTTTTACTTTACTTATTTTATAAACAAAACATTGAAGGCTGCTGAATTTGTCTACAGAAAAAAAGGCAAATTCAATTTAACTAAAAGGATTATTAAAAAAATCTATACAAAATTGATTTTCGTGTCAAAATAAGTTAGAATTAAAATATTTGATTTTGTGAGTAGCTAGATAAAACATTAATTACTATATTAATGGAATAATTATGCATATCATTCAAGACACTTTTATGTTTGAAACATTGATACATATTTCATTATTTACTTGAAAATATTCTGAGATCATTACATAATGTATCACACAATCCAGTGAAAGAAACCCAAATCTTTTGAATATGTAATTATTAATCATAATACTTTTAACTATTCTGAATTGAAACTTCTAAAACTGAAAGTTGAATAAAATTTCAATTTATTACGTACACTTTTGATCAACATACCCATTCAAGCTTTTATTGTCAAAAATAGAGCATTTTTATATTTATATCCTTCAATATTTAGAATTGAGTGTCATGGATTCGTACCTCGTGAATGAGCACTAAAAGACAGTTAAAAATTCAACTTTATTTCAATAGCAACAGAATATACTATTTAATATCAAAATGGATTAGTGTTTGCTACTGGTATGTCAGATTTTTAATCTACCTACCTTATTTCAAATTCGAAACTCGACTTTATTACCATGGCAATAAAGTGTAAAGTTCACTATCATGATAGCGCAACAGCAGAAAGTATGATTACACTCTTTCGCTAATTTATAAGTATTTTAGTAATGTTATCACGACTATGTCATTGTATTTCTAAATGTCAATTTAATTGATCAAGTTCTTAATATTTAAATGACATTTATGTAGCCACGAATTTCAAATGGCGGCTATCAATCGAACTAGTTGAATGAAATTGCATGCTTTTTACCTCAACGCAAACGATATAATATAATATACTAGCTTTCACCAGTTGGCGCCACAGGTAAGTGAAAATATTACAGTTCTCTTACTGTTCAATATTGGCTTGCAAAATTGGCGCCAACTCATTGCAATCAGCGCTTGGCAAAATTCGTTAGAACGCTTGTCAAATATCAATACACATACACAAGTTTCAGTCCGATTATACCGTTTAAAAAGTTCTAATATTCAAAGCACTTTCAACTGTATCACCGGCGCAATAGAGTCCACATCGCGTTGCACTAAGAAGCACTTGACTTTCAGTTCATATCTTACGTTCAAATCACTTTCAGCTATACCACTGTTTAATAAAGTCCATATTGCGTTACCTTAGTAAGCGTGGGTGGGCTAATATCAAATGGTTTCGACGATTCCTTTTCGTTTCGGCCGCGGCGCTTCCCCCGATATGAAGGAGGTTTCTTCCGATGAGATGGTAGATGTCTTTGCTAGGGCAGACGTACTGGGTTGCGATTGGTATGATGTCTGAAAAAATAATAAATAAAAATTGTTGCAAACTAGTACCTATTACAACTACATAAGAAACTACAGTGTTTATTTGATAGACTGTAGTTACTAGTCCAGACCACTAGTCAGAATACAGACTAGTATACAGACAGACGTGCGAAACCACAATCAGCTTATTAGCTTCTGATCGTGGTTTTGCAAGTCGCGTCGTTACAGAAGAAGAATTGCTATCACTGAGGCTTATCCCATTGTTTTTTTTATCTTTACATCGCTTCAGCAGTTTAAACGTAACAGACAGAGATGCTTTCGGATTGGTAAGAATCTAGGTAGGTTTAAGTTCATTTTATGTTATTAATGGTAACACACATCGTTGCAGACTTGTCTTTACACACTGTGGTATTTTTGACGAAAAGTGGTTGTGTAGTCTGTAGTTCTCACAACTTTCGAAAAGCTGTCCAGTAAGTTGGATTCGACTATTGACCTTTCTTAAAATCCAAACACTTGCTCCCGACTGAAACTGGGTAGGACGCTAGACTGTGGATAGCTAATCAATGACGAATTCCCGCAATGCATTTTGAACCTTCATCATCATCATCATCATCATCATTTCAGCCATAGGACGTCCACTGCTGAACATAGGCCTCCCCCAATGCTTTCCATGTTGATCGATTGGCAGCGGTTTTGAACCTTACATCTTATCAATAAGAAGGCTCAAAACCAATCGAGGAGTGTACCTTAACAGTGTACATAAAATCAGACTATTAACTCACTTGTGGTATAGAAACTGTAGGCGTGCTTGAAGAGCTGGCAGCGTTCCTTCTAATATCTTCTAGAGGTATTTCTTCAGAACGCGATCGCGGCGAGCCTTCCCGGGACCCATGGGTGCTGCTGCTTCGAGATATGCTACTGAAATTTGGTAGTTAAGTTCGTTATTATGTGTTAATTATAGGAATTGTGCAGGATCAATGAATAAAAAGTAAATTATATTAAAAAGAAGTTTGTACTAAAAAAAAGGTAGCAACGTTTTGTTTACGGATATAGATCGTTTGATCCACGAAGACGCGCCCCGCCAATTTTTGGTCGAGGGAAGCGCGGGGTGCGGGGAGTTTGATCCGAGCAATCCGAGCGTCATTATTGTAGAGTGCGTGTGCACTCATGGATAATTCAGCGTGTACCGATAATACTCAAACGTTAGCGGAAGAATGGTGGGGCGCGTCTTCGTGGATGAAACGATCTATAATTCTTTTGGGTTATATCTCTCAAAGAACCAAGTTAATGTAAAGGGTTTATTTTAAATGAAACGGAAGAAATAAAGGTTGGAGCGTGCATTTTACAAATCAAATTATTAATGTGTTTACTAATCAATTAATTAATATCCCACATGCGTATGAGTGGCTATATTGATGAATGATGAATTAATATTAATAATTTGTATGTATATGTTTTTGGTTCATCCATTTTATTTTCACTAATAGCGAAATGTGCTCTTGGAAAATGACAGACAAATGGATAAAACTTTTGCTTAATGTTATCGATTAATATTTGGATACTACAATATTAGACAAACTATCAATCAAATTCTTTGGTCGGACATTCACACCGAGATTTACAACTTTTAATCTACATATAACTGATCAAAGAAATAATTATTTTATATTATGATCTGAGGTCTGTAAGGCAGGCAACATAAAATATATCAACAAGCATAATAATTAAACATTTACATTCAAAATTGTAAACTGTGTATGCAGGCAACATAAAGTATATCATATGAAACATATTTACATAAAAAATTGTACACTAGAAAGTGACGTCCACCTGTAGTGGAGACTATAGTTATAGCGCTTAATTCAGGCGGTGTCTGAGGTATGGGAGCGGCGCGGGAGGTTGATTTTGACATATTTTGACGTGACAGAGCATACGAATCTGACGAATCTGAAGTCTCGCTGACATTTGACGTAACAAAAATCACCCTTCCGTGCCGCTCTCATACTTAAGCGCTAGAATTATAAATGACCTGATAATGATAACATTAAATAAACATAATTATAATCACCCACCTCCACCAAATGACGATCCAAAGACAAGACACGATGCGAAAATAAAAAAAGAAACTTACAAGTTGAGGAATAGTGGCGATAATTGTTGGACTAACCTCTCCCGGCTCGTGGTTCGTTCTCGGTACACTACTATGCCATCTTTGAGCATGTGTGCGCTTGGTCTGCGCAAGCGACGTTCTGGCTCGTCGCCGTCGCCTCCTGGGGAATGTATTTTTGATCTTTATGATAAGTGAATAAGGTGCAAATATGAAAGCAAGTATAATCTCAGCCTCAGTCCTCCCCAAGCCGTCAGTTTAAGTTTCTGGTTAATGAGGGTTTTCGCGAATGAAAAATCCGCCAGATGGCAATGCGTAGACGCGAGGTCCAAATGCTGCATGAATGGTTATTTTTGACATGACATTGACAGATATGTCAAAATCCACCAATCACTCAGCAGTCAGACCCCACATCCACGTCCCGCCATCTAGCGGATCTTTCATTCGCGAAAACGCTCATTAACTGATGACATAATTTATGCATGACGCTAATGTCTATACTATTTTATTGCCACGTCTTCACCGTATGTAGTTCAGAGAGATAATAGCCGCTTCATCTCATCATATTATAAAAAGAGATCAAGAGACACAAATATCAAAACATTAGTCCTCCCAAGACCAATCCATCATGTAAATCTCCGTTTACCTGTGGTATATTGGTGGGAATCGTGTTTCTGCACTCAGGGCATGTGGTAACGAGCCGGTTTCTATCCGGTCCAGCGCTGAACGTGTGCGCAACGCTAATGACCTGATGATGAAAACGACATACTAAATCTGCAGTATCCTTTACCAGTGGACCTCCTGATGGCGGTGAGGCCGGCAGGGCGCGTGAATAGCGGCCGGTGTCGCGGCGCCAGCGCCGGTGCGGCCATGCCCGATACTTCTAGCAGTCGCCCTATCTGTTGCATCTTCTTTTGACGGGATTTCGTGCGGCCCTGCAAACAATTGTAAAACATATAGCTAACTTTCGTAACCTATGTTCATAGCCAGGTAAACTATGCTTTAAGATTTTATTAAAACTAAGAGTTTCTTCAAATAAGACGTTTGAATCGTCCGTTTGTAGGATCAAACAAAAACAACAATAACAAAATATGTTGTTGCTTATGATGTCAACTTTCTAATCTTGCGAGGTTACTAATGTTTTACAAATAGCTCTTACAGCCACCAAACTATGAACCTTATTCATTTATCATAAGACCGAAAAGCAATGTTTTTATGCTGCATTTTGATATGCTGTGCCTTTAAAGGGTTAAAGAGTAATCTGTCATTTGGATGACCCTACAACCTAAAATGAGGGACCGTGCCAAAACATAACGTTATAAGTAAAGTAAAAATATTTTGTATCCCTTGGGTCCTCCTAATTTTCTGGGTCTTATAACGTTATGGTTTGGCACCCCTCCAGTCCACATTTTACCTTAGTCAGTCTCTGTTTAGCGGCCATGCTGCGTATGTGGTCGTCGAACTTGAACTTGGCTCGTAGCAGCACCGTGCGAGGTAACGCGCCGCTGGCTCCCACCCGCGGCTTGTGGATAGTTAGGTGTAAGCAACGAGGGTCTTCTTTGTCACCTTGTATCTGGTGAAATACAAATTAGTTTAAAAAACATTCAATATTTATCGAAATTGCCATCGATTCTTAGCTTTGGGTGTTCGAAATCCTTCTATGTTTATAAGTTGAAATAGGTACTTACTTGGTACGAACTATCAAAACGCGTTTTTTTTCACGGACTTTAAATAATTTATTGGAATACCTAGTAACTTATTTTATATTTTGAATTACAAAATAACCAAAAATGAGTTTTGTACTTAACACTGTATTTTACAAAATTGAATTCTTTTCTGGAGCTAAAATTTATTGGATTTTGGTCCATGGTAAATGGTGTCATTTACCGAATTAAACGGGTTCAATGACACTATGGCTTTATCAGAGACTAACTTAGTGCTACTTATAGACCTAGCTATGGAAACGAAATGGGAATAGTCTATAAAGTTACACATACCTAGCTTTGAAACAGAAACTTGATAAAAAAAAGTCCTGTGCATAGCATACCTCCAAATCCTGAAGGCTGCCGACTAGCTTAGCCACGCCCCATCCCAACTTCTGTTTGTCCGGCTCAACCAGAATAATCTGGATGTTGTCCACAGCTAGGAAGCGGTGGTGGCACGTGCCATCCTTCTGGATGATGTCGCAGGATATGAGGTCGGAATCGTCTGGAAGGTAATGGGGACATCAGTTTTGGAGCTAGAGTAGAAAAAAATTGCTGACTTGCCATTTTGAGTAATAAGAGGCTTAAAATGTTTAAACAGCGCCATCTAGTATCCAACTAAGCAAATCTTGAACCAACACAAAACAGATACTTTATTATTATAGACTGAAAACTCCCAGATCAATAATGAAAAGTGTATTTTGGTTTTTAGATCGTAGCCACGAATTTTGATACATGAGTTAAGTTTAAATCTGCGGTCAAAATGTGAAATAAAGTCAAGTTTAGCATTTTGTGACATGCAATTTTAAGAGATAGGATACAGTTAGTAAATCAAAATCGTGTGTTCTTTGATGGCTCGGGCACCTTCTAGAGTTTAACAAAAAAGCTATATGTGCACAAACAAACAACACTGAAAATAGGATAGCCGTCCGATGTAAGTTCCGGAAAACTTCTTGACAAACACGCGGCGAGACAAAAGATGCACGTTGACGACAAATAAATGAAGTAGGTACTCGTAATTAAGTATTCCACACATACTGAGGTCCAGGATGTCTCCAACTTGCACGAACGGCGCCGGGTTGGTGAGAGGCAGCTGGTTCTCTGGTTTCCCCGTCAGTTTCAAGTAAAGGTCCCGGATGAGGAAGAACGTTCGTATCGCTCGGCGGGCTCTCTCCATCTTCAGAACGAAAAATTAAGTAAAAAAATAGGATAATGTATTCATGATCGAGGAATACTGGCTTTGCTGTGACCAGACTAATATCATAACTTTATCCACAGGATGTCCACTGCTGAACATAGGCCCAATGATTTGCCAGCTGAAATCGGCCTACACCCAGCGCCTTCCTGCAACCTTTACAAGATCGTCTGTCTACTTTGATGGTGGACATATCACGCTGCGCTTACGTGGCCTTGATCCCAGAACAGTGCTGCCCCATCAGCCGTCAGTTTTGCTGTATGCCCTGCTCAATATCACTTCGTTTACGAGTATTAATTTACTTTATACATTGCATTGCACATGACTTAAAAGCTAACTAAGGCTAGATTATTTAGCTGCGTAGCCTATAAGTTGTGTATTAGAATTGTATATCACCTCTCCACTGGGCAGTCTCTTGGCAAACGCGATGCCCGACATGGGCGTGCGAGTGGGCGGCAACAAGATGGCCGCGTCCATGCACAGCCATTCCACGTTCAGCGGCCGCTTGCTCATCTCGCAATATCTGGAATTAATTTTAAATGATTTATTTATTTATTTATTAAGGTACAGCAACAGATTGCAAATCATGGCTTAAAAATAAAGTACAAGTAAGTAAAATAAACAATTGATTGATTATTGATTGAGTGTATAAGTTTTACAGCAATAAAAAAACGTAATCAATCCAATTGATTAAGATATTTTAAAACTAATTTCATTTTAAAAGTTGCTACTATCGTCACTGTCACACGTGAAGTGGCTCGATAGGCTTAAATCATGTGTGAGTGCCTCGTGGTAGTTGTAGGAATAAAGTATAGATGATAATACGGGGTAAGAGTTAATATTATTTACAGTAATATTTACGAATTCGAGTCCTTGAAAGCAATGTGAAAAATTGGGAGTCGAGCCGAGAAAAAACAAAAGAATATCGTTAATACTCGTTGAGAAAATTATTATGTTTTCTAAGTGGCCAGTGTTGCGCGGCCAAGGGGTCTTGTTTTCTGTTCTATTTGGTTAATGGTTAGGCTTGTTCTATAAGTCCGGTTGGCCAGATAAAACTATCTTACCTAAGTCTATTGCCATATCTTAATAACAATGATGTGGTCCAGCACTTGAAAGAAAGTTAGTCAGTACCTCTGTGGTTGAAGATTCCGAGTTCGTTCGCTTCTTACCTTCGGCTTCATCATCACTTTCTATCAGATGAGATGCAGGCGAAGAGCTCCATTTTGGATAGTAAAAAAAATACTCACTCGTCCTCGAACATGTCGAGGAAGATGTCGTCGCACTTGTAGAAGTTCCTGGCGAGGGCCGCGGCCCGCCCGCGCAGGCTGTCGGCGGAGGCGATGTGCCGCGCGCCCACCACGCCGCTGGCGCCGCGCATGGCGATGCGGACGAGCGTCACGCTCAGCTCCAGCGTCACTAGGCGGACTACTGAGCTCGAGCGTCACCGAGTGTGTTATAGTTAGCTCGAGCGTCACTAGTGTCATACTTAGGTCTCTCGTCACTAAGTGTCATACATAGCTCGAGAGTCACGAAGTGTCATTCTTAGTTCGAGGGTCACTAGCGCCAGGAAGTGTCATACTAAGCTCGAGCGTCACTATTACGCTCTTGAGTCACTAGGCGTTAAGCTCTAGAGTCACTAGGCGTTGCGCTTTAGCGTCACTATTACGCTCTTGTGTCACTAGGCGTTACGCTCTAGCGTCACTATTGCGCTCTAGCGTCACTATTATGCTCCAGCGTCACTATTACGCTCTAGTGTCACTATTAACGCTCTTGAGTCACTAGGCGTTACGCTCTAGCGTCACTATTACGCTCTAGCGTCACTATTACGCTCTAGCGCCACAATTGCACTCTAACGTCACTATTACGCTCTAGTGTCACTATAACGCTCTAGCGTCACTATTACGCTCTAGTGTCACTATTACGCTCTTGAGTCACTAGGCGTCACGCTCGTCATTAACATGACACAATGTACTCACTCGTCCTCGAACATGTCCAGGAAGATGTCGTCGCACTTGTAGAAGTTCCTGGCGAGGGCCGCGGCCCGCCCGCGCAGGCTGTCGGCGGAGGCGATGTGCCGCGCGCCCACCACGCCGCTGGCGCCGCGCATGGCGATGCGGACGAGCGTCACGCTCAGCTCCAGCGTCACTAGGCGGACTACTGAGCTCGAGCGTCACCGAGTGTGTTATAGTTAGCTCGAGCGTCACTAGTGTCATACTTAGGTCTCTCGTCACTAAGTGTCATACTTAGCTCGAGTGTCACTAAGTGTCATATTTAGCTCTAGCGTCAGGAAGTGTCATACTAAGCTTGAGCGTCACTATCACGCTCTAGTCACTAGGCATTACGCTCTAGTGTCACTATCACGCTCTAGTCACTAGGCGTTACGCTCTAGCGTCACTATTACGCTCTAGTGTCACTATTACGCTCTAGCGTCACTATTACGCCCTAGTGTCACTATTACGATTTAGTGTCGCTATATCGCTCTTGAGTCACTAGGCGTTACGCTCTCGTGTCCACCAAGCGTTACGCTCTAGCTTCACGAAGCGTTACGCTCTAACTTCACGGAGCGTTACGCTCTAGTCACTAGGTATTACGCTCTTGAGTCACTAGGCGTTGCGCTCTAGCGTCACTAAACACACTGCTCATCATTAACACCACACAATGTACTCACTCGTCCTCGAACATGTCCAGGAAGATGTCGTCGCACTTGTAGAAGTTCCTGGCGAGGGCCGCGGCCCGCCCGCGCAGGCTGTCGGCGGAGGCGATGTGCCGCGCGCCCACCACGCCGCTGGCGCCGCGCATGGCGATGCGGACGAGCGTCACGCTCAGCTCCAGCGTCACTAGGCGGACTACTGAGCTCGAGCGTCACCGAGTGTGTTATAGTTAGCTCGAGCGTCACTAGTGTCATACTTAGGTCTCTCGTCACTAAGTGTCATACTTAGCTCGAGTGTCACTAAGTGTCATATTTAGCTCTAGCGTCAGGAAGTGTCATACTAAGCTTGAGCGTCACTATCACGCTCTAGTCACTAGGCATTACGCTCTAGTGTCACTATCACGCTCTAGTCACTAGGCGTTACGCTCTAGCGTCACTATTACGCTCTAGTGTCACTATTACGCTCTAGCGTCACTATTACGCCCTAGTGTCACTATTACGATTTAGTGTCGCTATATCGCTCTTGAGTCACTAGGCGTTACGCTCTTGTGTCCACCAAGCGTTACGCTCTAGCTTCACGAAGCGTTACGCTCTAACTTCACGGAGCGTTACGCTCTAGTCACTAGGTATTACGCTCTTGAGTCACTAGGCGTTGCGCTCTAGCGTCACTAAACACACTGCTCATCATTAACGACACACAATGTACTCACTCGTCCTCGAACATGTCCAGGAAGATGTCGTCGCACTTGTAGAAGTTCCTGGCGAGGGCCGCGGCCCGCCCGCGCAGGCTGTCGGCGGAGGCGATGTGCCGCGCGCCCACCACGCCGCTGGCGCCGCGCATGGCGATGCGGACGAGCGTCACGCTCAGCTCCAGCGTCACTAGGCGGACTACTGAGCTCGAGCGTCACCGAGTGTGTTATAGTTAGCTCGAGCGTCACTAGTGTCATACTTAGGTCTCTCGTCACTAAGTGTCATACTTAGCTCGAGTGTCACTAAGTGTCATATTTAGCTCTAGCGTCAGGAAGTGTCATACTAAGCTTGAGCGTCACTATCACGCTCTAGTCACTAGGCATTACGCTCTAGTGTCACTATCACGCTCTAGTCACTAGGCGTTACGCTCTAGCGTCACTATTACGCTCTAGTGTCACTATTACGCTCTAGCGTCACTATTACGCCCTAGTGTCACTATTACGATTTAGTGTCGCTATATCGCTCTTGAGTCACTAGGCGTTACGCTCTTGTGTCCACCAAGCGTTACGCTCTAGCTTCACGAAGCGTTACGCTCTAACTTCACGGAGCGTTACGCTCTAGTCACTAGGTATTACGCTCTTGAGTCACTAGGCGTTGCGCTCTAGCGTCACTAAACACACTGCTCATCATTAACGACACACAATGTACTCACTCGTCCTCGAACATGTCCAGGAAGATGTCGTCGCACTTGTAGAAGTTCCTGGCGAGGGCCGCGGCCCGCCCGCGCAGGCTGTCGGCGGAGGCGATGTGCCGCGCGCCCACCACGCCGCTGGCGCCGCGCATGGCGATGCGGACGAGCGTCACGCTCAGCTCCAGCGTCACTAGGCGGACTACTGAGCTCGAGCGTCACCGAGTGTGTTATACTTAGCTCGAGCGTCACTAGTGTCATACTTAGGTCTCTTGTCACTAGCGTCAGGAAGTGTCATACTAAGCTCGAGCGTCACTATCACGCTCTAGTGTCACTATCACGCTCTAGCGTCACTATTACGCTGTAGTGTCACTAGGCGTTGCGCTCTAGCGTCACTAAACATACTGCTCATCATTAACCTCACACAATGTACTCACTCGTCCTCGAACATGTCCAGGAAGATGTCGTCGCACTTGTAGAAGTTCCTGGCGAGGGCCGCGGCCCGCCCGCGCAGGCTGTCGGCGGAGGCGATGTGCCGCGCGCCCACCACGCCGCTGGCGCCGCGCATGGCGATGCGGACGAGCGTCACGCTCAGCTCCAGCGTCACTAGGCGGACTACTGAGCTCGAGCGTCACCGAGTGGGTTATAGTTAGCTCGAGCGTCACTAGTGTCATACTTAGGTCTCTCGTCACTAAGTGTCATACTTAGTTCGAGTGTCACTAGGTGTCATATTTAGCTCTAGCGTCAGGAAGTGTCATACTAAGCTTGAGCGTCACTATCACGCTCTAGTCACTAGGCGTTACGCTCTAGCGTCACTATTACGTTCTAGTCACTAGGCGTTACGCTCTAGCGTCACTATTACGCTTTAGTGTCACTATTACGCTCTTGAGTCACTAGGCGTTACGGTTTAGCGTCACTATTACGCTTTGGTGTCGCTATAACGCTCTTGAGTCACTAGGCGTTACGCTCTAGTGTCCACCAAGCGTTACGCTCTAACTTCACGGAGCGTTACGCTCTAGTCACTAGGTATTACTCTCTTGAGTCACTAGGCGTTGCGCTCTAGCGTCACTAAACAAACTGCTCATCATCAACACCACACAATGTACTCACTCGTCCTCGAACATGTCCAGGAAGATGTCGTCGCACTTGTAGAAGTTCCTGGCGAGGGCCGCGGCCCGCCCGCGCAGGCTGTCGGCGGAGGCGATGTGCCGCGCGCCCACCACGCCGCTGGCGCCGCGCATGGCGATGCGGACGAGCGTCACGCTCAGCTCCAGCGTCACTAGGCGGACTACTGAGCTCGAGCGTCACCGAGTGTGTTATAGTTAGCTCTACCGTCACTAGTGTCATACTTAGGTCTCTCGTCACGAAGTGTCATACTTAGCTCGAGTGTCACTAGTGTCATACTTAGGTCTCTCGTCACTAAGTGTCATACTTAGCTCCAGCGTCACTAGGCGGACTACTGAGCTCGAGCGTCACCGAGTGTGTTATAGTTAGCTCGAGCGTCACTAGTGTCATACTTAGCTCGAGAGTCACGAAGTGTTATACTTAGCTCGAGTGTCACTAAGTGTCATACTTAGTTCGAGCGTCACGAAGTGTCATACTTAGCTCCAGCGTCACTAGCGCCAGGAAGTGTCATACTAAGCTCGAGCGTCACTATTACGCTCTAGAGTCACTAGGCGTTGCGCTTTAGCGTCACTATTACGCTCTTGTGTCACTAGGCGTTACGCTCTAGCGTCACTATTGCGCTCTAGCGTCACTATTATGCTCCAGCGTCACTATTACGCTCTAGTGTCACTATTAACGCTCTTGAGTCACTAGGCGTTACGCTCTAGCGTCACTATTACGCTCTAGTGTCGCTATAACGCTCTTGAGTCACTATAACGCTCTTGAGTCTCTAGGCGTTACGCTCTAGTGTCCACCAAGCGTTACGCTCTAACTTCACGGAGCATTACGTTCTAGTCACTAGGTATTACGCTCTTGATTCACTAGGCGTTGCGCTCTAGGGTCACTAAACACACTGCTCATCATCAACACCACACAATGTACTCACTCGTCCTCGAACATGTCCAGGAAGATGTCGTCGCACTTGTAGAAGTTCCTGGCGAGGGCCGCGGCCCGCCCGCGCAGGCTGTCGGCGGAGGCGATGTGCCGCGCGCCCACCACGCCGCTGGCGCCGCGCATGGCGATGCGGACGAGCGTCACGCTCAGCTCCAGCGTCACTAGGCGGACTACTGAGCTCGAGCGTCACCGAGTGTGTTATAGTTAGCTCGAGCGTCACTAGTGTCATACTTAGGTCTCTCGTCACTAAGTGTCATACTTAGTTCGAGTGTCACTAAGTGTCATGCTTAGCTCGAGCGTCATGAAGTGTCATACTTAGCTCGAGCATCACGAAGTGTCATACATAGCTCGAGTCACTAGCGTCACCGAGTGTCATACTTAGCTCCAGCGTCATTAGGTGTCATGGTTAGCTCTTGCGTCACTAGGTGTCATATTGAGCTCTAGCGTCACTAGTGTCACTAGGTGTCGTACTTAGCTCTAGCGTCACTAAGTGAGTTATACTCAGCTCTAGCGTCACGCTCGTCATCAACACCACACAATGTACTCACTCGTCCTCGAACATGTCCAGGAAGATGTCGTCGCACTTGTAGAAGTTCCTGGCGAGGGCCGCGGCCCGCCCGCGCAGGCTGTCGGCGGAGGCGATGTGCCGCGCGCCCACCACGCCGCTGGCGCCGCGCATGGCGATGCGGACGAGCGTCACGCTCAGCTCCAGCGTCACTAGGCGGACTACTGAGCTCGAGCGTCACCGAGTGTGTTATAGTTAGCTCTAGCGTCACTAGTGTCATACTTAGCTCGAGAATCACGAAGTGTCATACTTAGCTCTAGCGTCACTAGCGTCAGGAAGTGTCATACTAAGCTCGAGCGTCACTATCACGCTCTAGTGTCACTATTACGCTTTAGCGTCACTAAGCGTTAGGGGTCATCCATAAAGTACGTCACACGTAAAGAGGGGGGGAGGGGGTTGACAAAGTGTGACATGGTGTGACAAGGGGTGGGAGGGGTCCTAAGTTTCGTGACATCACATTTCAATTGTTTTAAATATTTGATATAATGTTGATTTCATAAAAAAATGTACTTAATTTAAATGGAAATAAAACTAATTTCGGAACTGCTGTTAATTTAATAATTTTTCGATGTGAAATTGCAAAACATGTGACGTCACACTAGGGAGGGGGGGGTCTCAGAAATGTGACCACTTGTGACAAGGACGGAGGGGGGGTAAAAAAATCATGAAATTCGTGTGACGTACTTTATGGATGGCCCCTTACGCTCTAGAGTCACTAAGCGTTACGCTCTAGCGTCACTAAGAGTGACGCTCCTGTCACTAGGCGTTACGCTCTTGCCTCACTAAGCATTGCGCTCTAGCTTCACGAAGCGTTAAACTCTAGCGTCACTAGGTGTCACCCTTAGGTCTAGCGTCACTAAGCGGCACGCTCATCATTAGCATCACACAATGTACTCACTCGTCCTCGAACATGTCCAGGAAGATGTCGTCGCACTTGTAGAAGTTCCTGGCGAGGGCCGCGGCCCGCCCGCGCAGGCTGTCGGCGGAGGCGATGTGCCGCGCGCCCACCACGCCGCTGGCGCCGCGCATGGCGATGCGGACGAGCGTCACGCTCAGCTCCAGCGTCACTAGGCGGACTACTGAGCTCGAGCGTCACCGAGTGTGTTATAGTTAGCTCGAGCGTCACTAGTGTCATAATTAGTTCGAGTGTCACGAAGTGTGATACTTAGCTCGAGCGTCACTAAGTGTCATATTTAGCTCCAGCGTCACTAGGTGTCATACTTAGCTCTAGCGTCACTAGCGTCAGGAGGTGTCATACTAAGCTCGAGCGTCACTATCACGCTCTAGAGCGTGATAGTACGCTATTACGCTGTAGTCACTAGGCGTTACACTCTTGAGTCACTAGGCATTACGCTCTAGTGTCACTATTACGCTCTTGAGTCACTAGGCGTTACGCTTTAGTGTCACTATTACGCTCTTGAGTCACTAGGCGTTACGCTTTAGCCTCATTACTAGGCTCTAGCGTCACTATAACGCTCTTGAGTCACTAGGCGTTACGCTCTGGCGTCACTATTACGCTCTAGTGCCGCTACAACACTCTTCGAGTCACTAGGCGTTGCGCTCTAGCGTCACTAAACACACTGCTCATCATTAACGTCACACAATGTACTCACTCGTCCTCGAACATGTCCAGGAAGATGTCGTCGCACTTGTAGAAGTTCCTGGCGAGGGCCGCGGCCCGCCCGCGCAGGCTGTCGGCGGAGGCGATGTGCCGCGCGCCCACCACGCCGCTGGCGCCGCGCATGGCGATGCGGACGAGCGTCACGCTCAGCTCCAGCGTCACTAGGCGGACTACTGAGCTCGAGCGTCTCCGAGTGTGTTATAGTTAGCTCTAGCGTCACTAGTGTCATACTTAGGTCTCTCGTCACTAAGTGTCATAATTAGCTCGAGTGTCACTAGTGTCATACTTAGGTCTCTCGTCACTAAGTGTCATACTTAGCTCGAGCGTCATAAAGTGTCAAACGTAGCTCGAGCGTCACGAAGTGTCATACTTAGCTCGAGCATCAGGAAGTGTCATACTAAGCTCGAGCGTCACTATCACGCTCTAGTGTCACTATTACGCTTTAGCGTCACTAAGCGTTACGCTCTAGAGTCACTAAGCGTTACGCTCTAGCATCACTAAGAGTGACGCTCCTGTCACTAGGCGTTACGCTCTGACTTCGCGGAGCGTTCCGCTCTAGTCACTAGGTATTACGCTCTTGAGTCACTAGGCGTTGCGCTCTAGGGTCACTAAACACACTGCTCATCATTAACGTCACACAATGTACTCACTCGTCCTCGAACATGTCCAGGAAGATGTCGTCGCACTTGTAGAAGTTCCTGGCGAGGGCCGCGGCCCGCCCGCGCAGGCTGTCGGCGGAGGCGATGTGCCGCGCGCCCACCACGCCGCTGGCGCCGCGCATGGCGATGCGGACGAGCGTCACGCTCAGCTCCAGCGTCACTAGGCGGACTACTGAGCTCGAGCGTCACCGAGTGTGTTATAGTTAGCTCGAGCGTCACTAGTGTCATACTTAGCTCAAGCGTCACTAAGTGTCATTCTTAGTTCGAGGGTCACTAGCGCCAGGAAGTGTCATACTAAGCTCGAGCGTCACTATCACGCTCTAGTGTCGCTATTACGCTCTAGTCACTAGGCGGTACGCTCTAGCGTCAGTATTACGCTCTAGTGTCACTATTACGCTCTAGTGTCACTATTACGCCCTAGTGTCATTATTACGCTCTAGCGTCACTATTACACTCTAGCGTCATAATTACGCTCTAGCGTCAAAATTACGCTCTAGCGTCAATATTACGCTCTAGTGTCACTATTACATCCTAGTGTCACTATTACGCTCTTAGAGTCACTAGGCGTTGCGCTCTAGCGTCACTAAACACACTGCTCGTCATTAACACCACACAATGTACTCACTCGTCCTCGAACATGTCCAGGAAGATGTCGTCGCACTTGTAGAAGTTCCTGGCGAGGGCCGCGGCCCGCCCGCGCAGGCTGTCGGCGGAGGCGATGTGCCGCGCGCCCACCACGCCGCTGGCGCCGCGCATGGCGATGCGGACGAGCGTCACGCTCAGCTCCAGCGTCACTAGGCGGACTACTGAGCTCGAGCGTCACCGAGTGTGTTATAGTTAGCTCGAGCGTCACTAGTGTCATACTTAGGTCTCTCGTCACTAAGTGTCATACTTAGGTCTGACGTCACCAAGTGTCATACTTAGCTCGAGCGTCACGAAGTGTCATACTTAGCTCGATCGTCACGAAGTGTCATACTTAGCTCAAGCGTCACTATTACGCTCCAGTGTCACTATTACGCTCTAGAGTCACTAGGCGTTACGCTCTAGTGTCTTTATTACGCTCTAGCGTCACTTTACGCTTTAGTGTCACTAGGCGTTGCACTCTAGGGTCACTAAGCGTCTCGCTCGTCATTAACATCACACAATGTACTCACTCGTCCTCGAACATGTCGAGGAAGATGTCGTCGCACTTGTAGAAGTTCCTGGCGAGGGCCGCGGCCCGCCCGCGCAGGCTGTCGGCGGAGGCGATGTGCCGCGCGCCCACCACGCCGCTGGCGCCGCGCATGGCGATGCGGACGAGCGTCACGCTCAGCTCCAGCGTCACTAGGCGGACTTTTGAGGCTAGAATAAAACAGGGATATTTTTGGCGTCACTAAGACTTACTACACTAGGACTTTTCAGGCTAGAATGTAAATAATAATAATAATAAATAAATAAATATCCTTGGACATTTTACACTGCGCTTCTAGTCCCAAACTAAGCAAAGCTTGTACTATGGTACTAGACAACGGATATAAACATACTTAAATACTTTTTTATTGTAAATACATACATAATTATACATAGAAAACACCCAGTCCAATACAAACAAATATGTTCATGCACACAAATGTTTGTACTGTGCGGGAATCGAACCCGCAACCTCCGGAATAGTAGTCCGTTTCGAACCACTACACCAAACCGCCGACAAAATGTAAGAAGTTGAAGATAATATTATTATCTTCATTAGGCGGACTTTTGAGGTTCGAAAGGGACTGGCTTAAAGTAATAGAGCGTCACTAGGCAGTTTTTTGAGATAGAACAAAGTCCAGAATCATTTGTACCACAACCAGTTGAACTATTTGTATATTGATCTAAAGGAGCTAAAAATATGAATACTGTTTGACGCATTGAATTTACATAAAAAAATAAACTTAAATAAACGCAAAATTCAAAACAACTTCCATAATAGTATTATGATGATTATGAGTCGTAAACGAGTACAATCATACAGACACCAAAAACTGCACTGACGCATCACTACACGATTGACGTCACTGTATTTACAGCTGTATATAAATTCGTATTTGCTCTTGAAAACCATAACAATAGTGTATATTTGCAGGGTGGGTGATCATATAAATAGCATATTTTTGCTGAATGATAATGCTAAAATACTAACTAAATAATAGATATTGGTCTCAGTTTCTAAGATAAATATAAAAATAAGAGTCTGCCAAACTTACCAGGCTTACAACTCAAATGCGCTATCGTAATTAGTTTCGAAATGAGCAAAGCGTTGAAGCTTTGCATTGGCTTCCTCGAATGAGTCGGAGTGGGCGTTCCTTCCTTGGACTCGCTAGATGTCGCTTCTTGACTTGTACTGGGCACAATCGATAAAGAACCCTCTGCCTCAGGGCATAAGAGCGTGTCTAACAACTCCGTGTTCACTCCTACAACAAACATTTCGTAATTTTAATAAAATGTTTTTTTATTTTATTTACGTAGACGATGTAAAATATCTTACCCACTAATAGCCGAAGCAAGCAGAAAAGGAATAAAGAGAAACATTTATTAGTAAAAAGTCAATCAGATAGCTAGAGTGTGATCTATGATCGTCTAGTCAGATTTAAGCATAGAATAAACTGAATTTCCAATTGTATTGCATCTTTGTTCCTTATGCATACCAACTTATACGTGCATTCAAAGAAATCTGAAGTGTTTTAAATGTATCTACATTTATTTACACTATACTAGTTCAGAATAATCTTAAATATACATACCCTTATTGTTTATGAGAGCAAACAACAAACACAACGCGAACAATGCCTTATAGTCATTTTCGCTGCAATCCAAAGAGTCCAGGATAGTTTTAAGGAACGGCCTCTTTTCCACCTCTTTACTTTGATTTTCCAATAAATTCTCCAAAGACACCTTCTCATTCGCTGCATGAGAGACAGCAAGAAGTTTCTGCTTTTCTTCGTCAGTAATATTATTGAACTCTGTTTTAGACGAGCTCGATTCAATCCCGGAGTCAGGTAAAGGAGAGTCTGGCATGTTTTGCTTCACAGTGATATCAGACTTGAGAGAATGTACTTGGGTGACCAGATCTTCTGTGGAGTCGTGAGCTATGCTCGACGTCTCGCTGATATGTGAAGTGGACGGCAGCGAGGTTGAAACAAGCTCAGGGTCTAAGTCACAGCTGGACTGGTCTGTGTCTTCTGATCCAAAAACTTTAGGACCTCCATACTCAGGCGTCGTGTAATCTCTTTCATGACCAGATGTGCTTTCTAAAGCTTTTTCCAAGCTTAACTGTGGCTTCGAAAACTCCAATTTGACGTTGGATTTAGCGTTGCTTATGTACATTTCTAAGATTTTCGTAGCACCGTCTTCGAAAACAGACATATCTGATTGGAGAATAATCCAAGCCAAAGCATGGACGATGGGACCGTGTGTTATGATAAGAAACACTTGGGATAGAAGGAATAAAGATACCACACAAGATACTGAAGGTTTCACCTCATCTTCAGATTCATTCCTGTGTCTTGGGAAGGTCATTCTTGTGGGAGATACTTCTGCGTTTTTCCCTTTCAGTATCGCTTCTAAATTTCTCGTGATCGCTTCTATGCTTTGGATGTGATCTCGGTTATACGGGGACGTGTTTGGACGCCTGGACGGATCTGACGTCAGTGAGTAAATGTACAAAGGCACAAGCAGTTTGTGCAATAAATGCTCTGTTAAGACGTCGTTCAAGTCAGGTATGTTTAGACAGAGGATGTCGTTGATGTAATGCAAGTGGTCTAGATGCTCGGCGACGAGGTCATCCAGTTTCTGTTGGGATTGGTGGCTAGAAATAAAGGTGTAAGGTATATTATGATAATGTCACCTTTTTTACTAAATTTAACCGTTAAATACTAAGGATGTGTTGCACCATCTTACTTTAATTTTAACAAACGTCAAAAATCTGTCATACTCCATATGAAAAGTTTGGTGGTGCAACTCAGCCTAAAAATTTTATGATCTTATTTGGGCTAAACTGTGTCTTGCTTACAAATTATAGAATAACTTACCAAAGTCACAGCAACACACAGCTTAATTACAAACTTATTACTACAAATCTAAAGTGATGCTTAGTTCTCTTGCAATTCAGAAGCGCGTGAATATTCAGCAATCTAAAATAATGTGCTAATGGAAGAAAAACACTAGACCTAACATTACACATTTTTGTAAAACGCGCAAATGTAAAATAGTTCATATTATTATGATAGTAGCATATTCTTCACATACGAGTCGAAACCTTTCATAGTGTAAATATTCCAAAAATCATAGAAACTTACATTGTCTCATGCTTAACCTTAACTAAATTATTTCATCTGGTAAATAAGGCAAAAGTAACTCTATATTATATTCTAAAATACTTACTCAGCATCATTTCTGACACACGCATCTAGCTCCAAAATGTGTTTTCCAATAAACCAGACCAAATTACTGAAGTATGGGGCTGCGGTTCTGCAATAAAATTTTGAGATACTTTTTTAAAGACGATTTGTGAACACTGGTTGCGTAGCGATCTCTAATAACTTTTGAGAAGTAAAGTCAGGAGCACATTTACCAACTTTAGGACATAGTGAGGTAAAAGTATGAAACTAAAGAAAATTAAAGAGGTAAAGCAAAAGTAATGAGTTATATTAAAAGTCAGAATGAAAGGTAAAAGTAAACTCCAAGAGGTACAGTAAAAATACAGTTATTTTAAAAGTAAGGTAAGGTATTTATTACACTTAGAAAATTTAAGTCTAAGAGGTACATTAAAAGTAAATATTTGTTACCTGTCCCTAATGAACCGTAGCATGCTCGCGTCTTGCACTCGGTACACGTTGAGCGTAAGTGTGCGCACCGCTATGCGCACCATTGACTCGTTGTGGTTGAAGAATTTAATCGCTTCTGTGTAAAGGGGGAAATCTTTCGTGTGCTGCAAAAGAAATGTCGTCATATACTCAGACCGAAGTGAACTTTTGAACACTTAAATATTGCATTTGTTTAATGGTATCTAAAACTGAACATTCTGAGTTACACCATCTTAACCTTAACAAATGTCAAAAATCTGCCAAAGTTCATACAAAAACACCAGTTAAGGTTTTTAGTTACTGTTAAAGTTAGGTGGTGCAACTCAGCCTAAGTGACAGTAGATAAGTTAGTTTTTAACTTAAACTCTTAAACTTTTTTTTTGTTTGATGATCACATTTTTGTCATATTCTATCATGATATCAGATTGTTTACAGCTTATTTTTACTACTTACAGAACGGATTTTATGATTAAAAAATTAATCATTCTTTACATTGAGATAAATATTTTCACCTCATGTTTGTTATCATCATTTATCAATACTTTCATTGTAATAATATTCATAGTTTTATCTTGTTGGATAAACCATAAAACAGGGGATTTTTTCAGCAAAACTCAATTTATTTACTTTCAATTAAAATTAGATGCAATCAAAGTAAAAGCTACTTTAATTCATACTTTCCTTCGAATGGAAATGACTGACAAAATAGTTTTTATAACATTATAACAACTAAATATTTAAGAAATAAAGTTTCATACCTCATTGTAGAAAAAGTGAATAGTATGATTGTTCAGTTTCAAGCTGAGCGTCTTCAGGAACGAAATGTAATATGCCATCACTTCCTCGTCGGAGAAGTCGAACTTGTGAACTATTATGGAATTGACATGGTTGTTGCTGAGAAGATAATCTGAAATAACATAATAATACCATTATACCAGGGGAGGCCTTTGTCTAGCATTGGACGTCATTTGGCTGAAACAAACTAATGAATATTATACTAGAACCTAGTCTCAAGAATTATTTGTCACTTTTTAATTTGTGAATAAATTATTCAATAATTTTTCTGACATCGAAAATGCCAAAAACCATGGGATAATCGCTAGTGATGTAGATATGTGTGTTTACAAAAATTACCTATTTTTAGGTGCCCTGGGGAAAAGTTACTCAATTTACCTTATTACAACAAAGGTTGTGGTTCATGTACCTACATACTTTAGTAATGAATTATTAACTAATTATCCAAAAGGGGCCAATTAATGCCCAATATTGATAAAATGTACAATCCAACCAATTGGTAAGAAGAAGACAATTAACTAACAAGCCAGTTTTCTAGTTCAGGTCAATATTGATATTTAATTAGGCAATGCAATAATAATTAGACAAAATCAATATCAAATATGCCTATTGTATACGGCCTTTGTTTGTTTTAGAAACAGTTATTGGTTTAAACTGGTGTTATTTGGTTAATCAAATTAGCATTGGAGAACTCCATTTTTTGTTTCTGGCCATGTATTTAATTCTACTGATTATAATCAGTACTTTATATATTTAATCTAATAATTTAGTATCCTGTTAGTGCTAAATTTAATTTAAAAAAAACTAATCATCAATATATTATACTGGCATTGTAGATCCTGGCTACACAGGAGTTGCAGCGATGGGAACAAGAGGTTGGAATCCCTTTTTTTATACTGGCATTGTGCAGTAGGGTAAAACTAAAATCCTCCAAAAACAAAATGATAAAATATACTGGTAGGATAATTTACTTACACAATGAAGTTTCGTTTCTAATGTTCTCAAACAGGATGTTCAAAGTTTGGAGCAGTTGCACACAGACGTAGGACGACCCTCCACACTTCTGCCTCATTATCTTCAAGAAGTATGATAGCATGTTTTTCTCTAAGAAAAAGCTGTAAGAAAAGGAATTTCCTATGCTTAATTGATATTTTAAAATGCTACTTTTACAAAAGAAACAGCCTGTTTATTAGTTTTATTTAAAGCATGAATGAAGAAGTGCATAAAGTACCTACCTTATCAATCACAGACCACAAATAGTTTTTAAAGTACCTCATGCATTTGTCGGCTGATAGTTATGAACTTTGGCCTATTAAACAATCTTATAGGTACTTTGAAATTAGGCCCGAAAAACAATTGGTATCTACAGGTTACCATTTCATTACTTAGGTGCTTAGTATGCAATCTAAGCCAAGGACATGAGACTTGATATACTCTTTATTGACATTTTTTATACTTACTCGAAGACTGAGCTGTCGTTCTGGTCTCCCCATATCAATATTTCCGCTATACACCTCAAGGACTCCACTAAAGTCCCCCGATTGCTCTCAGAGACTGTAGTATTCTTACAAAGAATATTATGTAAATACTTCAATCTTTCTAACGAATGGGGGTTCTTAGGCCGCCCCCAAGCAGCCCCAAACCAACTCCTGCTCCGGAACATGACGAAACAAAACTGTTTTCGTAATCAATCAAAGAAAACAGAACATTTTAACACTTGTGCTAAATCACCACCGTCGTAAGTCGTAATACTCGTGAGCAGCGACGTAAATGATCAAAACAAGTTCTACTGACAAACTGCAAGGAACACACAACGATTTAACGCAGTAATCGGGCACGAGTTCAAAAGACAACTATGCACTAATTATTTTTTTAGATTTTCTAAAACAAATAATCCACCCCACTCAACAACTCACAATAAAATTTTGACAGTAAATTTTGATGTTGACGTTTGTCAGGCATGGCCGCTTTGACATTGACAGCCTTGAAGTTTGCGTTTAGTTCTCACATTACGTACTATGTGGTTCTCACTCTATTACTCTAATGCCTGTTTTCACCGTCAATCCCTAATTTTTAAGTGACGCCTATGAAAACAAAATGCCTGTTATGTGTTACAATAAGGGTCACTTAAAAATTAGGTATTGATGGTGAAAACAGGCATTACTCTACTCCTTAAAGTTGTGTAGAAGGCAGTCCTTTTGTGTGACCATGACCATGATGTACATCTTCGGAGTTCAAGGATATTCGATTTTGTTAAACAGTTTACTTATAGGTATCTTGCAAATGTTAAATGTACACACCTGTTAGAAGTCGCTCGATTCACCAAAATAATGAAAAAATAATTCAACGTAAAAAAATATTAATTGCATAGCAGTGCACTATAATTTCCAATAAATTCTACTGAGATGATCAAAAGTTTTACCCTTCTATTTACTCGAACAAAGCAAAACACTAAAACAGTATGTAGAGATCAAACGCCTGTAAATATTTTTATAGTTTCTTTTTCTACAGCTGCGTCATGGCTAGAAGCCTAGCCTCAGTTAATCTTGCCACAATTTTAGCAACCTAGGTACGTTAGCCTGGTGGTAACTAGTAGGCATGGAATTCAATACCACTGTAGTCGTCTGTCGTACATTCAAGTCTCGGTTGAAGCAAAAATGTTAGTAGGGTGACTTTCCTACTTACTATTTAGTTAGATAAGTAGCCTGCGTAATTAAGAGGGCAACAAGGTCTGCTTAGTTCTTTATTAGAGGGTTTACAAGGACTTCAATACTAAACAAAATTATTATCTCTAGGTAGGTCTAATCACCAGAGCTGATTCAGCTTACCTATTTTTGCAAAATCGCATCTAAAACGTCCTAAGACTTATTATTAATTAATATGCATATCTCAAAAACCTTAATACATTAACTCAAAACAAAAAAGTGTTTTACGTTTATCACGATTTGTGCCTAATACGTATTTCATTAACAGCACATTAACCTCGCCATAACTTTCTCTAGCCTGGCTGACCTGAGGGCAAGCGTGTAATCCCTTTGATCCGTACTGGACGTTGTGCCTACGCAGCGAATTTTTAATTACACAAGAAAGGGATGACGTGTGAAACAAACATAAAGTTACTTTTTTTGGAACGCGGATGTCCTGCTTTTAAAGGTAGGTGTACATTTCCATATTATAACATTCCGAACTTCCGAAGCGTGTCCTGGAACTAGGTACTTAGGTATACCTAGTCGACTTCATAATTTATTGGCAGTGCCAATGTTTTAAAATACTGTAGCGTTTTAACGATTATACCTACAAAAGATCTGAGTATTGTCTGCGCTACTGCGCTACAATATTTTGAAATCTTGATTATGTATTTGTATTTATGAACTCGACTGTATGTATCTATTTCTAATTTTATAAGGCGTTGTCACAAACAATTAGTTACACATAGATGGATGCCGTAATACTCGTTGAAAACATTGGAACTTAGGAAGAAATTTCTTTATAGCGACAAGACCGCCTAAATTGTGATGTCTCTTTTGTGTATTTCTTTATTTTCTTGTTTTGTGTAGGTAATCTATTATATAAAAGAAAGTCGTGTTAGTTACTCCACTTATAACTCAAGAACGGCTGAACCGATTTAGCTGAAAATTGTCAGGGAGGTAGTTTAGAGCCAGGAGAAGGACATAGGATACTTTTTATCCCGTTATTTATTGCCATTAAGGCGGAACAAAGTTCGCTGGGTCAGCTAGTTTTTGATAAAGTGTGTTCTACTGTATCTAACTGCATCTCTCTTTATCTCTAGCCGCAACCACAAGGCCGAATTCTCCTCCGTAACCTCATAGTAAGTACTCGTACAAAATGAAATGTAGATAGGTACGAGTTTCACCCCACACGTAGTAACTAGTACTTAGATACCTAAGGGTCCATTTCACTTTGGACTCCAGGCGACATTTGGTGTCCTTTCATCACCCATGCATGGTTAAGATCACCTATAGCTCTAGGTGATCATAGTGGAATCCTATACCTAATCTATGACGTAGCTCTGTGAATAAGCATTTAAACTAAGAACCGAGTGTTGACCCTTGAGGGAGACGTGTAATTAAATGTCAATTGTACTCCACCGTTGACGCCTTCGTGCTCTCGATCCAGAGGTCCTGGGTTCAATTCACACAGAAAACTTACGGTTAAGGTACTACGGTGATTATTACCTACCTAAGTTTTCTACTAAACTACTTTCATCATCATTGCCAATACCTTGATTACTTAGGCTGACTTGCACCACCTAACTTTAACCGTGACTATAATGATAACTGTATTTTGTATGGACTTTGACAGATTTTAGACGTTTGTTAAAGTCTAAGTAAGATGGTGCAACCCAGCCTTAATACGATAAATAGGTAAATTACCTATTAATCGCTGAGTTATGAAACAAAAAAATAATTGGTTAAGAAGCATATGAGGGATTCGAACCCGCAAACACGTGGCTCTAATTAGCTAGCGCCATAAAGAAAACTTTAGTTAATATGTTTGTTGGCGACATTACCAATTAGTGAAGTATTAGGTAAACGGGTCAAATAAAAGTACGCTATGTGAAAAAGTATGATTTTATTTAATTAATAAATTCTATGTTAGACAATTCCTAGGTGACTAACTTCAAGCACCTTACCTACTCAACGCTTATTTCTATAATTGCACTCCTTTCGTTCTTTACAATTGAAAAAAACTAAACAAATACACTGTTACATAGACTACTAATTATTTGTCATGATGTTAGGTATATTTTCAGTTGTTATGATCCCATGTGTTAATAATGATACAACTCACGTTTTTCATAATAACCACATAGAGATGTTATGTTATGTTCAATTGATGAATTTGGAGCACCTTTTCAGGCAACTTTGGCTATAACACGCACGTCGCACACAGACTCTGAAAGGTCTTAAATTTATCATTGTTAAAGCGAGATAAAAACACCATGATAGGTCAAAAGACTATTTCCTAATATCATTAATTTTGAGTTGTGACACTTTCAGCGTCCACGTGCGATGAATTTTCTGATTGAAAGTTGAATTATTGAAATCCTAGATTATTCCAGTTTTATTTTATTACCATTTACATTTTAGTATGTACTTCTTACATCCCATAATAATTCGAAATTACTTGTCTGTAATTTTATAGGGTAAACAATAATAAGTACCTACCTACTTACAATAAATTGAGCATACATTATACGTATTCGTCTACGAGTAAGTATACTATGTACATAACATTAATTACAATTTATTGTCATAGTGTATAATAAGTACGCATTTTAACTTAAAAAGTTGGTTCCGTATAATAACTGGCTATTACACTTTCCAATCTCACAAAGCTACATGAATAATATGACTTAACTAATATTTTTATGTTATAAATTTGTACCTAATAGTAAACCTTAGGTCTACATGTAAGATTACAATAAATTAATCCGTGATGAAATAAATATAGGGTGTTTAATAAATTAAGAATTTAAAATTAATACAACTAAATTAATAATTGACTGAAAGGAAGTATTGTAACTAACTTAATTAAGTTCAGAAAAATCACTTATTTTAATACTAAATTAGTAGATGTCATCGGAATAATTTTGAGCATTATTTATTATCTTTTAGTTCGATTAAAGCTTACTAGAGCAATTAAAATTAATTAAATCATGAGTGGCTGTGACAAATTAATTACATTCAAGCAAATTAATGACTGATCATCTATTTTAGTTACTTTATTAATTGGTAAAAGACCTACACTTTTAGTTTAAAATTGCTGTATACCCTTTACATGTCGTATAAAATAGTAAGTTACCTATTCACTTAATTAAAAAAAGAATCCAACTTATTTTTACAATGATTTTACATAGAAGAGTATTATGGTAATTCTGGATTAATAAATAAAATTATACATAATAAAAAAACTGACAAAATTATAAAAAAAACAAATCGTGATTACATAATTAGAAAATCCCAAATCTTTCAGCCACGGTTAATGAAAGTTATTTAAACAGTCAATTTAAATAACTTTCAAAATCAAATAAATACCATGAACATAATTAATATGCATCGCAAACAATTTAGTTAACGAACGACCTGTGTGCTTACCATGAGTTTACGTTACGTGTGCTCGCTAGCGACTGCGTAAAAAAATGACATTAATTGTATGACATATTGTGCAGCGCCCCTAGCGGCTACTTTCAAGAAACAAAATCTCCATGGAGATTTTTGACGTTTTCGCTAGCGAGCACACCTAACGTAAACTCATGGTAGGTACACTGAACTTTCATTTCTTTTGATGATTGAATTCGTGAAATACACTTTCCCTGTTTGATCGCGAAATGTAAGTAAATATAATTAATGTAATAAATACATAACCGGCAAGATACATCCTGGTTCCAAGGTTCGTTTCAAATCCTAATTACATGAGCTCGATACGAGCCAGTCAAGCGTGTCCAGCAGTGGTGGTCACCACCTGAAGCCTAAGGGTAGAAGTTTTGAAGGGCATCGGAGTATATGGAGTTGTATGTGTCCCTAAGAACGTACACACTGTCTCCTGGCTTTCCATTGAAGACGTACTGGCCTTTGAGGTTCGTGATCTTGGAGTTTGAAGGCGCTGGCTTAGGCTTTGGCTTGTTATAAGAAGGCATGTTGTAGTTGGGACGTGACTGCGATGGCATCATGGGCTGTGCTCCATAGCCGAAAGGATCAACGGGCTGCATTTGAGGTACTTGCTGGTAACCCGCTCCACCGTTCCATTGATACACGCCTGTGGGCTTGCCGTTGGAGATGAAGTCGAGGGGCAGGTTGATGAACGGGTCCTGAGGACCTACTCCTTGAGGGATCATGGGAGGCATTGGCGGGCCAAGAGTGGGGGGCTGCGATACGTAGCCTAGACCAGGGACAAACATGTACGGTGTAGGGGGAAGTCTGATGTAGAAAATTGGCGAGTTATCATACTGGAGTGAGTTAAGGTTGTCGTTAGGATAACCGTCTCCATTGCCGTTCTTCTTCTTGTTTTGCTGCCTGCGTCTGTTAGGGATGGTTCTAGACAAGTCATCGTCGTCAAAATGGTCGTCATTGACGGAGAAAGTGACGTCATCATCGTCATCGTCTGAGTAGTCCAAGCCTGAGGATAAGAATGAGGGGAAATATCCGAAGAGGTTGAGCGCTTTGTTTTTCCTGTTCGAAGGGGTTGGCCCTTCCGTGGACCCCTCTTCCTTGAAATCTTCTTGTATTTTGCTTTGCCTAGTATTTTCTTCGTCTACATCTGCAGCTCGGGATCTTCTTGAATTGGGTGCGCTATGACTGAGCATCACCAGGCACAGGAGGATCGATGAGCAGAGCAGTGTGCTTGGGGTCTTCATGTTGTGTTGTTTCTGGAAAGAAGAAATGTGAATGTTTAGAGTGGATTAACAACAAGAAACTTTATGATACCGCCTGGTTTGGGCCTGCACAGATTTCGACTGGAAAAAAAAACATACAAACGAATGTTAAACAAAAATTGGTTTTGGCGTGAAACATATTTTTTCATTTCAGTGATATTAGTTTGAAATCACTTTTTCATTACATTAAAAAGTAACATATTATGTTTAATAAGCGTAAAAACAATACACAAAAATAATTGCAGCAACTGTCCTTCAACATGATAAAAAGACGAATCCAACATGTTTATTAACAAGTCCAGTACTACTGTTTATTCAATATTGTTAATATTTAATAGCTTTGCAAAAGCAAGTATTGTATAATTGTTCAGCTTGAGTAATTACACTAAATAATTTTACAAACTGGTTGAAGTCATTGAAATATTTTTAGGGTCCCACCTCTCAATAGAAAAACCTTTTTGAACGTCTTACTTTTACTATTTTATTACATTCGATAAGCTACCCATATCACAAGCGAGATGGCGCTAGCCAGGGGCTAGATGGCGCTGTGTGAAATTGTCCAAAGATATTTCTTTATTTCATAATTATCTTTGGTTTATAATAAATCATTACGTCTTGTAAACTCCTTATTACCTCTATTAGCTTTCTATAATCTAGCTCAATCATCATGAGCACTGTGTAAACAGACATAGGTTTATTCATCTAAACTTTTACTAAACGATTGATTTAAAATTATTTACGTGTAAGTATAATAATATTAGCATCATAATCATACACATAGGTGCATAACAGTTTTCAAAATAGCATTATTAAATAAGGCATTATATGGTATGGAATTTCATTTAGCATAGCAATACGGATCTTTGCCTTTTTTGTACGGCGCCTGCAATTTCATAAGATAAGTAATGTTGGAAATAACAGATTCACTCTTGCTAAAGTTATGTTCATGTTTTATTGAGATATTCCGAGATATCGATGTCGCAGGCAAATTGTATGATTCCGCATTTTACAAACGGCGTCGTCAATTTACAAACGCTCGCTGTTCTATGAAATGCCGAAGGCAAATTGGCAACTCGTTCAATTGATAAAATTTCGACTATGATTGTTGCAATAGGGTGACCATCATAAAACACACGTTGGACAAATCAGACATAATTTCAGAAATCAGGTAGGTATCTATTCAAGTAAGACAAACCTAAAATACTTGCTACTCCTAAAGTAATTAAAATATTTTCGTAACAAAAACAACACTAGAATAATTTAAACTATTGACGTACCTATAGGTAGGTACATAATAATATGACATTAAATAAGTTTCGATAGTCAGTCCTTTAGATAAGTCTTATATTTTAATTATACCAAGAAGAAGTCTAGAAGACATAACACAATATTTTTTATACCAATATATTCCGCAGCAGTCCTCCGAGCACCAGATTCCATTGTCACCTTAGCGTGTTTTACGTGCCGGATAACCTCAAAAACTATTTTATTTTTCCATAGCTTTTTCACTGCTCCTATTTGTGAATCGTAAAATTTACTTAACTCACTAAGTATAATAAATGTCTTTTTTTGTGAAAAGTCCTTTGAATACGTAGAATTTGCACTGTTTTCTGTATCACAAAACCACTATCCGACGCCATTTTTCTTGTTTTGATTAGCAGCGCCTCGCGTGGTGAGAAAAAGAACTAAATACTTCAATTTGCCGCGGCATTTTGTAAACAGCGATTGAATTGGCTATCAAATGTTTTGGCACATTATAAAGTGCCAAGGCAATTTACATTTTGCCTTCGGCATTTCATAGAACAGCGAGCGTTTGTGAATTGACGACGCCGTTTGTAAAATGCGGAATCATACAATTTGCCTGCGACATCGACATGACGATATATTATTATTGACAGTACAAATGAATAGTGATGTACCAAGTACCTAAAGTCATGTCAACACCATTTTTTTCTTATTGATCGAATGATAGCTAGCTTTCTTTTGATAATAATTGTGCCTGGATTATCGATTTGCCATCGATGTTCATGCGTCGCTAGACATACGCCCGTATTCACAAACATTACTATGAGGTCTCACAGTGTGCGTGGACTCACAGAGTGACACGAACCAATCACAGAGCTCTATTCAACGCGTGCGTACGATGTGCTGCTTTACTTAAGCAAGCATCGTTTGTGAATACGGGCGTTAATTTATTTGGAAACTAATTGCGTTTTAAAGTAGGTTTGAATGAACGATTAGGTACTCGTTTTATTATATTAGATTAGTATTTACATACAATAATGTATTTTATCATAATTGCTAGCTTTCCCGGGTGTTGTCATTCAACGTTATCTAGACTAATATAACGTATCACTTGAGTACCTATCAATTGAACTGACACACCAGCCTGGCTATGAAGACGGCAATACCTACCTGTCGATGTATCGACTGACAGAGAAAAATAATAATAGCCTCTGACTTAAAAAAAATCGTAGTAGGTACGTACCTATTCGAGAAAACGCTCCCTTTTCGGGAACCCAGAAGCTTCCTTCCTTTACCTAGATTTGGAACATCTCTCTATACAAGAATAGCGGCCGCCCACGACTTAGTGTGGTCCATGGACCCCATTTTATCCCCTTAGGGGTTGAATTTTGCAAAATCCCGTCTTAGTGAGCACCTACGTTCTAAAAGGATTTTAGAAAATTTTAGTCCTAGCACAGTTTTTGAGATTTCGTGATGAGTGAGTCAGTCAGTGACCTTTCGCTTTTATATAGATAGAGATATCATCAAGTAACTGAACATCTTACAATTACTAATTTCAAACAAAAACATATACGTAAAGCTTCTCTCTTTCTCTAGATAAACATGAACAAAACACGTGGGTTAGTTACAAAATAACTATACTGTAAATAAACTACAACCCACTTAGTCCTTCCAACTGTGTCGATGTTAATAATTTAATGACAGACATGAAATATGCGTAATTACAGATATAGTTTACAAATATTTCCAGCCCAATTAAAAAACGCGAACATTCTGTACGACTCTACCTTTGAAAAATTAACTGGTGAACTTTAAAACGCGGGCAGTTATAACCAAGCTTTAATAATACAGGGTGTTAACAATTGGGTGTCATTCTTTTACTTGGAACACAAATTAAAACACGAAGTGCTAATTATGTACCTATTTTTTGCATTTTTCATATTTAGTAAGGTAAGAATGAAACACTACATTGTAATATCAAATGTTGCCAAGGCGAGACCACTCATGGTTTGTATCGTGAAAAAGTTGACAGATCTCATGAAGAACCAAGCTTCTAACTCTACTTGCCCTACTTCATAAACTGCTATCGCCTTAATCAAAAATGTGGCAAAGCCATTTCGCTATCATCAGTTCACATGTGTAGATGTGAAATCGCCATCAATCACTTTAAAGTTCTCGTAGAAAAATTTGAAACCATGGTTCAAAGCCGCTTTGTTCTTGTGATGCTTGTCTTATACACCCTGTATAAGTGAGTACAGTGAGTAGCAATATTTTTAAAGATCAGAGTCACAATTAAGTTCCTTTAGCGCCACTCGTTAGTTCGATACTGCGCATTCTGAGCAATTACATACGAAATATTGTCGGAGCAGTTGGAGTAATGAACAATATAATCAGAGGTTATTATGGTCAACGTTTATTTATTCGTATAATAATCTGTACGCTTATAAAAATGTTTGTATCATACCAAAAGGACATCGTTGATTGGATCTCTGACGTCACTTTTATTTGAAGTTAACCATGCATGCCTAATCTTCTGGATTATTACAAGCTTTTTTATTTGAAATATCAATTCTCAGCGGAACGCAATTTTTCGAAGTCTTTCTTTAACCCTTTCAGACCTGAATTATTTTTTTTCACCCGATCAATTTAGTAAAGGACATCATCCACGTTTCATACATTTTTGGTCCAAAATCAAAAGTGCCGGCCAACAAAAAAAAGTGCTGTATTCTGACAGAATACGTCTGCCTTAGCATTTGTTACTATGGCACCAAAGCCGTAGCTCCACTGTGCGTCGAGTATTTGAGATCTAAAAGTCATCGAGGTTATTATGGTCAACGTTTATTTATTCGTATAATAATCTGTACGCTTATAAAAAATGTTTGTATCATACCAAAAGGACATCGTTGATTGGATCTCTGACGTCACTTTTATTTGAAGTTAACCATGCATGCCTAACACTAGAGTGCTCGCGCCCCTAAATACTCCTAGAGTGCTCGCGCGGGTGACATATGTCCCCCATTATGATATGGGTTTATTTTTGCTAATCTTATTTAATACAAGTAAAACAATTTATAATATTAAACATCAACTATATTTCTTACTAAATAATTTAAAAAAGTGAGAAATTCTTTTATGAACTCTTATTATAAACCAAAAGAAATACTTCAATATTTTTCCAATATTTTCGAGTCGAAGAGACCAAAGTAGTTTAAATAGTCGTTTGACCCGTTATTTTGGCAAAAATATCACCTAATTAGAAAGTTAATCAATAGATTGATCTTATTCTGTGATATTTTGATCACAACTCGGGCACGATATGATTTGATGATCTGGACAAAAACGCCTATTCCACTTGTTACATTTGCTTACGAGTGCTTCGATTTCTTGCTCTTGTGCAAAAAACACATCGTCCTTTGCCACAATACTGGCAAGCTTTGTGCTAGTTGGTGTTCTCGCAAGCCCAGAAGAATCCTGGTTTTTAATTTTATAGTCCTAGGTGAATTATTACTACATTGCATACAATCTAAAACAACTACTTTCTTGCATCAGTTTATGCTTATAAAACAATATAATTATTGTAAATGTTTAAAAAATGGTTAAATATTATATCCTTGAGCTTACATGAAAGTAAACTTGATTTTAAACCGCGACGCTAGGGGATCAAACAATTCCTCGAGTGCTCGCGCGGGGGACATGCGTCACCCAAACACTTTAAATGTTTTCTGCACTCACGTTGATGCGTCTAGCAA